ATCATCTTCTTTGTATTTATTGGAGATGAATTGTCTGAGTAAGCTAAAGGGATACGGGGAAAAAGGGTAAGTGAGTATGACTGAAATCATTGCTCTTAAAAGAGCTAACACAGACACGATGGGCCAAATGATCTTCTTCTGTGCTGTATATTTCTATGGTCTGAGTCGGTCAATATCTTATCTGGAAGTGTCAGCGTCAAGCATCAGCAGGAACGATGACGGGATCTTGAGGATGGCGATATTGATTTCCTTGGGCATTTCTATTGTTTTCTCTGTTTATCCAGGAAAACATAGTTATTGTGGCTTCTCTGCGTGAAAAGAAGGATTAGATGTAAATTTATGCAAAAGTAAATGTTATTGTGTATTGTTGCCCACTGATGCTAGAATGTGACTACTCAAACACATTTCTCTCAGGAATCCCGCCGTTAAGAAAACAGGATTGCAAGCCTTGCATCAGAATCAAAGTGCAAACCCTCTGCTTCATTCAATGACTCAAGTGCTAAGTGTTCTATAATAATAATAATCCTTGCATTTGATATCGTGCTTTATTATGTCATCGAGACGACTCAAAGCCCTTCACCGAATATACTTTTAAGTGAATTAACTGTATATTTTGTGGGCGAAATGCGGCAGCCAATTTCACATGGCAGTGTCACACAAACAGTCGTGGATTCAGTGACCATTTTTTTAAGGGATTATTATCCTCTGAAAGCGATCCGCCAATCGACTTACAACTGGATTCCTACTTACTACTAGGTTAACAGTGGCGTGTGGAGTAAGGAAACTTGCCTAAGATTTCGCCCTACCCGGGAATTGAGCCTGGGTCCTCTCGCTTGCAAGGCGAGTGCTCAGGCCCCCGACCCGAGCTGTCGTTCCCCAAAAATGCCCCCATCCCTGCAACTCTCCCACTCTGTCTGTCTCACCAATAAGCTACATGACTTCACATGTTCATTTTAACAAGATACTGTTCATTTATACGGATGAGAAAACTCGTACAATGCTGCGAAGTGGACCCTGCGTCAAGCTTTCAGAATCTGACCAGGGCTTGAGTGAAAGAATCTATTTCTGCATTTAAGTGAACCGGACTTTTATTTTTATGTTTCAGAGGGAATATTTCCAGTGAAGCCACGCGTTGAGATGCTTTTACAAGGCAGAAACGCAGACGCAATACAAAATAGACACAACACAATATGAACTTGGTGCACTCTTTAACAATCCCACTTGCTTTGCATGCAATAAAGTGTTTGGCCAGCGTCCCTCTTCCCAAATTAAAACGCGTTGCTTTGGAAAATTAAATTGCAACACGCCAGTGAGTTTATAAGCCTGCTTGCACCTTCCTCCTTTTCTCACACTCTGCCTGGCTTTGCCATTGTGTTTCAGTAAATCGAGAATGGGTACACAGAGGTTCACAGGGATGCCAACAATGAGAGATAATAGCTGTGTACAGATATGTATTTGAGAAGTTGGTGTTGTTTTCAGTGGAGCAGAGAAATGTTAACAGGGTGAATCTAATAGAGGTTTGTAAAATTATGCATGCTTTTTCGTGAGGAAAATAGACAGTTACTACAAAATTTTCACTGATATGGGGATTCAGTAACAAGAAGGCATCAACTGAGGATTATCACCAGAGGAAAATGTGGGAGGTTAGAATTTTTTTAAAAGGAGAGGGCTGTTGGTATGGAATTCTTGGCTATTCATGCCAAGACTAAAACAAGCGCTAACAATAGCTCATTCTGCCCTGCCAATTGTGTATTTGCCTCGCTCAGAGTTGTTCCTGGGACAATCTTATTCCAAAGCACTTCACAGTACTGTGGGTTTTGAAACTCTATCCCCGCCTCATGGCTACATTGAGAACAGCATAAGCTGAAGAATCCCGACTTCACTGTACAAGTTCAAGAGGGTTCAAATTCAATTCTGTGAATCATTCAACTGAAACATTACTCACCCGAGTTTACAAAGCATAAGACCATAAGATGGAGAAGCAGGAGTAGGCCATTCGGCCACTCAAGCTTGCCCCGCCTGATCTTCTAACCTAATTACATTTACCCGCCTTATCCCCACATCTAAGAGATGGCAGGGTAAGATTTTGAAGGCTGACTCATTTTGAAACACTTCATGTTGCTTTTATTTGTGTGTGGAGCCGAGATGGCGAATATCAGCAGGGCCAATGCTCTCATCAACAGATCCCAGCAATAATATCAATCCAGAGATGTCTGCTGGAACCTACATGTGTGTGGGCATCAGGTTCGACTTAACTATGATGGCCAGTGATGAGCTAAGCCTAACCCGACCTGATGTCCACACATATTAAGTTTCCCTGAAAGTGATCAGGGCCAGGAACTCAGATAAAAATAATCCTTACATTTGAATTTACAGTAATGCCTTTCCTGTCAATAGGAAAGCACTTTGCAGGTTATACTGTAACAACAAGAAGATTACATTTGTATAGCGCCTTTCACATCGGGAGGACATCCCAAAGCGCTGGACAGTGTACAGCATTTCAGACTCGAGGTGGGGTCATGGGGGGGAGAAGGGAGGGGAGGGGAAGGAGAATAGTCGATGGTATGGTCGAAGAGGAGGGTCTTGAGGCGGGACTAAGGTTAGGAGGCTAAGGTTGGGGGCAGAGTGTCTGAAGGCTCTCCCGCCAATGGTGGGGCGGGTGGGTTGGGGGACGTGGGGTAGGCCGGAGCCGACTGAGCGGAGGGAGCAGGCGGGTTGGTAGGGGGTTAGGAGGTGGCAGAGGTAGGGTGGGGCGAGGCCATGGAGGGCTTTGTAGGTGAGGACCAGGATCTTGAACTGGATCCTCTGAAGCATAGGGATCCAATGGAGTCGGGCGAGAGTGGTCTTAGAGACAGGTGGACGTGACATCACAGTGACAGGTGGGCGGTGACATCACAGTGACAGGTGGGCGGTGACATCACAGTGACAGGTGGGCGGTGACATCACAGTGACAGGTGGATGTGACATCACAGTGACAGGTGGGCGGTGACATCACAGTGACAGGTGGGCGGTGACATCTCAGTGACAGGTGGATGTGACATCACAGTGACAGGTGGGCGGTGACATCTCAGTGACAGGTGGATGTGACATCACAGTGACAGGTGGGCGGAGACATCACAGTGACAGGTGGGCGGTGACATCACAGTGACAGGTGGGCGGAGACATCACAGTGACAGGTGGGTAGTGACATCACAGTGACAGGTGGGCGGAGACATCACAGTGACAGGTGGGCGGAGACATCACAGTGACAGGTGGGCGGTGACGCCATCAGAGACCGGTGGAGGTGACCTCACAGTGACAGGTGGGCGGTGACGTCATCGGAGACAGGTGGAGGTGACATCACAGTGACAGCTGGGCGGTGACGTCGGGGACGCACACAGGTGGGCGGTGCCGTTAATAATTACTGCCGGTCTCTGTGACGTGGCGGCTGGCTGGCTGGCGGGCGGGCGCGGTGCAGGCCGGGATCGAGGCGCCGCTGGCCGGGAGGACTGGTGACGTGTGCGGGGCTGACAACCATGGCTGACGAGAGCAGGCAGGCGAAGCTGGCGGCCGCGAAAAAGAAGGTGAGCGAGAGAGGAGCGGGGCGGGGGGCACGTGGACGCCCCGCGGCCCGGCCAGGCCCAGGCCCGGCCCGGCCCAGGCGCTGCCCGACACACAACACGGTGTCAACAAGCCACCCCCCCCCCCTCTCCCCTCCCCCGTCGGGCCTGTCAACCGACCTGGGAGCTGACAGACACACAGGCCCGTCTCTTGCACAACAACCGCCTCTTCCCTGTCCCCTCCCCCCCCCTCCCCCCCTCCCTCCCTCCTCCCGCCGCCGCCGCCGCCGCTCGGCGTTTCCACGTCTACCGCCGCCTCAACGTCCGCACCTACCGACATGGCGGCGGCGTCGGGGCCGCGGGGGCCAGGGCCTGACGCGAGCCCAAGGCTCCCGGGGTGGGGGGGGGGCTCGGGCCTGTCCCGTCCCTTTAAACTGGTCGTCAAAATCGATGCCCGGAGTCTCCTGTCACGGGGCGGGAGGGAGGGAGGGAGGGAGGGACCCCGGGGCTCGTCGCGGCAGGTTTTCTTGCTGGAAGCTCCAGGCTCCCCCCCTGGTCAGGGCGTTTTTTTAAAAAAAAGGCACTCGGTGAGCTCACAACACGGACCGGTTCATTATTTTTCAAAAAAAAAAGGCAAAAAAGGGGACCCCACCCCCGAGTGTAAGGGCATTTGCTGCAGAAACGCAAGTATCTGCCCACGAAATGCACAGTCAGTTCATTTCGCAGTCTGTTCTGTGAAGCGCTTTGAGACGTCTTGAAGCCGTGATAAGGCGCTGTATGAAATGCAAGGATTATTATTGTTATTTAGTTCTTGTTGTTGTACGACAGGCTGCCGCGTCCCTCTCTGGGTCTCTTGCCCTCACGCCTGATTCCTTCCCCCTCCCCCTCCCCACCCCCACCACCACAACACCCACTACCCCCATCTGTCTCCAGTGAAAAGTGTTTAGAACCGCAAAGGCTTCTTCATTCTTCAGTTTGCCTGTCAATACCGGTCACCGACCGTTTAAAACCCATCTAGATGTTGTGCAGCTTAACATCTAAATGTCAGAGAGAGAGAGAGAGAGAGAGAGAGAGAGGGAGGGAGGGTGGGGGGAAGCCCCTAGCACTGGAAATATTATATAAATAACTAAAAACATACCAGGGTAAATAGCATCTGCAGGAGGAAAATGGGTTCATTGTTTTCTGCCTCGACCCACCTCAGAATGTTGTCGACTATAAATATGACGGGTTGAATCCCATATTCCCCTTGGGGAAACCTTTTCTTCCTCTTTTAAATTCCAGTTTTTTCTCTCTCTTGGCTTGCTCTCCTATCGCATCTGATGCTTCCCCCACTTTTAATCATTTCAGTTCAAATGTCGGGGGCATACATCATTCTTTCAGTGTTCCTTGGGGACTCGCAGCGTTTCTGGTTTTATTTCAATAACACTTGAATGGTGTGAAGAAATAAACGCTAGAAAGATTCATATGTAATAGGATTGTTGTGTTATTGTTGGGAAGATGGAGAGGATAAAATTGTAAAAATTACAACTGGTACAGCCTTATCAGAGGAGAGCTATATGTTGGGGGTAATTTGGGTAAAAGTGATATTGTTATACATTGGCAATATGTATTGCCAGGCTTTGGGTCATGCTTGTGCAAACGAGTTGGAATCTGCTCTTGTAACCGGAGTTTGCTGGACTATCTCGAACGCTTACGGAGCTTGGTGTTGGAATGTATTGCTGAAATCCGACTGAAGATCTTGCTTTTTTTAAAAAAAAGTTAATTAATGGCTCACGTAGCACGGAATGAAAATTACACTGACCTGCTACCTAATTCAAAATGCTAAAGGAAGCAATTGCTTTTCTTCTGTAGTTGTTTTAGTCCTTTACTTAAAAGACCTGTGGGGTTTGGAGATTCTAAGAGCAATCATTTTGTCTGTGATCATTCTGCAGTGCAATCCTGTTCTTTTAATAAATAAGAATTTGGGAGTGTTGTCTACTCTCTGCACTTGTGTCAGATATCTGATACTACAGGATTTATTCTGCACAAAATGTCCGTTCCAAAAAAATCTTTAATCAATGTTTCAAAGGTTTAAAAAAAGATAGTAAGTCTTGTGTACATTTCTTTATAACCTTCAGAATTGTGTGTTAGCTGAATAGGCAAAAAAATTGCTTCACCATAAATTGAGGGCTGTTGCCTCAGTTTCCTTCATTGCTGGTGTATTTGCTGAGAGGTCCTCACTATTGCTTTCAATGGCATCTCTAAATATATGTATTGATCATTATTTAGTTACTAAATATAAATAAATAAATACCAAACTCCGTGACCCCATCTCCCCCACTCTCGTCCGACTCCATTGGCTCCCTGTCCTTCAGAGGATTCAGTTCAAGTTCCTGGTCCTCACATACAAACCCCTCCATGGCCTCGCCCCACCCTACTTCTGTGACTTCCTAACCCCCTACCAACCTGCCCGCTCCCTCTGCTCAGCCGGCTCTGGCCTGCTCCATGTCCCCTGATCCACCCATCCCACCATTGGCGGGAGAGCCTTCAGCCACTCTGCCCCCAACCTCTGGAATTCTATCCCCCAGTCACTCCGCCTCGCCCCCTCCTTAGCCTCCTTCAAGTCCCGTCTCGAGACCCTCCTCTTCGACCATGCCGTCGGCCACCCCCCTTCCCTTCCCCCTCCTCCCCCCCCCCCGACCCCAGCTCAGGTCTGAGATACTGTACTCTGTCCAACGCCTTGGGACGTCCTCCCGACATGAAAGGCGCTATACAAATGTAATCTTGTTGTTGTTACTGATTATTTTCCAGTGTTGAACAGTTGACAACTGGATAATATTGAAATGATTGCCCTTAAGCTGTCCGTGGATGTCGTCATGGCTTAATATAAATCAGACTGACTGTTCACATTGGCTGTGGCACCTGTTGTCAGCAATGCCATTCTTAAAATTCTTTCAGCTAGCCCTGCAAACTTCATAGTAAACATTCTACAAATTATGATGCTGGCAAATGTTCAAGATCGTATTTAAATTGCAACTTGACAATTACCTGATTTTCTCTGAGATTATCGCCTTGCATTTCAGTTCATGGGGTTAGCTGATAGAGGTATTCATCTCGTTCCATTCCCTTCATGAGTGGCCTTTGGCTTCGTGTGCCTCTGGGCCTCCATTCGAGCCCAGTTTTTGTGTGATGTTGTGTGAGCTGGTTTTCTTTCAGTGCAGTTTTTTTACACCATGCAACTCACTGGGCAGGATTTTGCTCTGGCGTTTGGTTTGCTCAATCAGTGCCTGTATTGCATGTCATTTTTGCTTAAAGTTTGATTATGCTTTAACGTGTTAGTTAGGAAAGCACAGAGTGTGGAGACTTGTATCAAGTAGTTGAAAATACATTTTGAGAACATATCATTCTCAACTTCTTAAATGCAACTGTTTTTAGTTTTGAGTTGGTTAATGAAACGGTTGATCCATGAGGTGGATAACAAATGCGTTCTGAATGAGTTGGAGTTTGTTTAGTGTTAATGTTTAAAATGCTGAATGTGCATTTAAGCAGGATGTTGGCTCAGAGTTCTGGTTGCAGAACAAAATTAGCCCAGTCCTCCTGACTGTTGCAGCTCTTCAGGTTTGCTGTCAAAAATGTATGTAGAAACTACACTATTATTATTGTAGTATGGTGTGGCAGTGTCTTAGTGCTTGCTTGGTACACTGTACAATTGAGGGGTAGGAGAAGGATTCACACCTGTGATTCCTTACATGTCAACATCTTAGCCCCATGTCCTTAAGAGTGGTACCAAATGCTTCTCTACAGAAGAGATGGGGGAGATGGGATCTGCTGTTTCTTCACAGGAAACATCAAATACAAGTTGAATTAAAGAAAAGTACTCTTGATATTCTGAATGTTTAAGTATCCTCCAGAGACTAGGGTGTTTACCATCCAATTGTATGTTTATTCAAAAACACCTGCAAAGGTGAATGTATCCCACACCAGTTTCTCCATTACAACACGAATAACATGCTACACAGTGCTTGAAGCTAATGTTTGTTGCATGTTTGTACCTATGTAATGTTGCGATGCCAAAGGCAAATATGGGTTTACTTGAAAAGTGGCCGTTTAATACAGTAGTTTGGCTTGGTGTCATGTTAACCCCTGGAGACGATCTGCTTTGTGATTCTGTAATCTAGACGGTGTTTGAAACAACCATGCAATTTGTGGACCATGCAACCATGCAAGTAGAGGCTTGTGATAATCATTACCAGTGACAGTGCAGCCATTGAAAATTACAACCTAAGATTGAACTGTGCATGTAAAATTTGACTGATCTAATTTAGTGTACCCGATCGGTGTTTCTGTTTCTTACCAGAAGGATCAGATTGTCGCTTCTGGATCGAATGGTCACCATTCTTAAAATAAAATGGATCTAAAATAACCTTTAGGAACTGTCATGAGTCCAGATTCAATTCTGAAATGTCGTTCTATTGGGAATCTTTATGCAACGTTTCATTCTCTATCTGGAATTCGAAGCTATCAAGCTCTCCAGACACAACAAGCCTGTTCTGCTTGTTAAACTTCAGTAAAATAATTTCTGGAATTCATTCCAATAAGTGTCATAATTTGTCATTTTGAAATCGATTCCAAAATGCAAGGAAGGCCACATGATCTGGGGATTATATGTGCTGAAGAAGAGACAATGATATTTATAATGACCTTTGACTCTTAAAATCCCCACAGTGAATAATGAATTTAGGATATGAATGTACTGTACTAGCACACTATGAAGTAATGTGAATTTTCTTTTCTACTCGGAGAAAAATATCTATTGTGTAGATCATCTATAGAGCCAGCACTCTAAAGTTCCTGACTTTCTTTCTTTTTAAAGTTAAAGGAGTTCCAGCAAAAGAAAAGTCCAGTACCCGTTGGGGGAACCAAAAAGAAGAGGAGAACTAAAGAAGACAGCCGATCTGAAACGCCAACTAATGATTATGACCAAGATATATCTGATGTAAGTTTCTCCAGATTTGCAGTGAGGAGGGAATTAAGAAAGCCTGAGTTCTAGCTGTAAACTTTTATTATTTGAAGGTCTGCACCCTAATGGACTAATTTCCTTTCCCACAGAAAAAAGCTGTGTCATTAACATTGTTACTTGGTAAAGAGACTTAATGTGCTAAAGTGAAGTTGCAGTTTGCTGATCATTTAGCACAATGTCCTGAGATGCCAATAAAAAGAACATGTCCAAAAATACTATTTGATTATGTAAATTGCTCTGGAAGTAGCTGTTATTCCTTTGAATACCAGATGCATATCAGAGGTCACACCCTCTCTGTGGACTTTAAGTGTGATCATAACTTATTGCAAGCCATGTGCTCTCATTGTGTACTGTCAGTATTTTCCAAATTGTTTTGACAATATTGATATTTTCTAGCAATCTAGTCTTGCATATCTCTTTACACTAGTTCTTCAACACTGCTCATATTTGGAGTAATAATTTGGCAAGGAAATAATTCAATTCTGAAATTAAAATTATTTTCCTTAGAGATGCCTAATTGCATAGCGGGTAACTCTTGTAGAATGAACTGGTTGCTTTTTCGCTGCCATTATTCACATATGAGTATGTGACTGAGGCCCTTGGCTTGTTTTGTCCAAACCACCATTCCCAGTTACGTTTCCTGTAAATGTCATCGGTGAATTAAATAAGGACTTTGTGCATAATTGGGACAGGTTCATAGAAACTGATGGGAGCTTGTTAAACAGATCCCCAAATTCTGTGTCCATACATAATGCATTGAAGGCTGGTGGCTCTTTGGAGTTTGACAGTATTGATTGTATCATTGAAACCTTCACTTTTGACGAGGGGGTAGGAGGAGGGTGATTATAAATCTTTTTTTAAAAAAACAGTTTTAATATTTTTTCCTGCAGATATCTGCTTTATACCCTTAAGTTGGAAATAGTGAAGAAAATATCCTTTCTTCGTGACTCTTAACATAGTTGTTCATAGTGCAGCGTGACTGACTTTGGTGCTTGACCTGATACTGTCTAATTAACATTTACAACCCTCTGCATCGTTTCATAAATTTCGATACCAAAGAGGTCAGGATATCAATGCTAAGGGCTATTGAATGTTAAGCTGGCATAGCACAGGTGCAGTGGGCTGACTGATAGCCTCGTTTGCTGAAATATCTGATTCCTTTTAGAACAGAACCTGTGAATAGAGCAGATAGCTCCAGTGAGGGAGCTAGCACGAACATGATGGGACAAATGCCTCTCTTATGTGCTGAAAGTTCTACCATTCTATGATATGATAACATTGCTAGCCTTGGATGGAAGCGCATTGACTGTTTGTAGCCTATGTTTGTTGAAATCTATCTTTGTGTTGTAGATGTAAATAAAGTTTAGTTGGCCTTGAATTTTCTTGATTTCAGTGATTCAGTATCCATTTCTTAAACAAAAGTTCCTATAGTCAGGTGTGAAAATACATCCTTTTCTTTAAAGAAGTAAGGCCAATTAGAAATTAATAGTTTTTAATATTAAACTTTGTTAATTGACTTTAGGTAGAAATTGGGCCTAGAGAGAAAAGTTGTCTACAGTATTCTGTTTATGGGACTGAAAGAGCAAAATGAATAGATTTGCTAAACCGGAAGCATTCACAGAAAACAGCAGCAATATGTAGATAAGTATCTGTGGGGATGGTACTTATCTATATTTACATTTCCCTGCAGGTACTGTAATATGCAGCCTGACTTTTATGGTCATTTGCAAGTGTATTTGCCTGGGCAACTAACAGGATATTGTGTTTTTATCAGGTGTGTGGGTGGGGTTGCTCCTATTATGGCCCGAGGTGAAGCTAAAGGCTTGAATTCACTCTGAAACATAAGGGTGAATATATATTACTGGCATTTTCGATGACATTAGGCTAGTCGAAAGCCAAACTCCAGTTTTGTCAACCAATCCTATTCTCTGTAGTTCAGATTATTGAGACCCTCCGGTATTTATTTTTTTGGCCAAATCCTGAGATGTCATCATAATCAAAAAGGAAACTACATCTTTCAAAGGGTTACTATTGAGTTTTATGTGACACTGTAATGTTTTCTCTTTAAAGTGATTGCTCTGAAATGAACATATAGCTGTGACTCAGCAGGAAGGGTTTGAAATTAAAACAAGCTCTATTATTTGATTTCAAAATGGATCTCTACAAATCTGAACCTGAAGGGATGTTGGCAAACAAACTGGATTGGAATTGGGTCATGAAATGTGTTAAATATTAAGGGAGTCTCGAAATTGTCAAGTATTTTTACTGAGTGGGGGGTGGGGGGGGTGCTGTGGGAGAGAAAGAGGGTAAATAATGAGTTTCCCTAAAAACAAATTTCGGGCCAATTCTCCAATTTGGGTTCCAATCCTATATCATTGTAATGGCGAGGAAATAAGACTGGAGTTTGTTGTTTGATCGGTTGTATCTTAATTTGGGCTTTAGCTTGCTGGACCCCTATCCGTTTCCTATCCTTTCTTTCTCTCTGAGTTCTCCCTGTCTCTTTACTACTGTTCAGATGCCCCTGCAGAACATTCTGAAGGTGCTGGTAGCAGATCGCAGTAAATCCAATGGGGTAACTCTACCTTCATTGGACAGGCTGAAGGTGAGAGAGCTTTGAATGTAACCTGTTTGGCTGGCTTGCTGTTGACGCTGCTCATGTTTTGTGGGGAAGGAGAATTCCTATTGTTGCATGTTTAGTTATGTGGGGGAGGAGGAAGGATTGGAATGCTCTGTTGGTGCTTTAAATGATGCATGACTCGCTTCTGCTCGCTCACATCAATTGTACTTCTAAAAAAGCTTTAAAATCCAGTTTTAATGGCTTGCTGCTTTTTGCTCAGAAGGCAGTGCTTGCTTCTCTATGTATTTAGTTTTTGTCCTTTCGCTCGTCCACTGTTCTTCAAAGCATGTGAAGTCAGCAGACGTACAGCAAGATGGCTCCCCTTAATGGCTCAACTGGAAAGGCCACTGCCTGGTATTAAGCAGGACTGACAGACACTGAGTTAATGTCTGGTGTGAACTAGTAGCTGTTTTCAGACTAATTAGGGTTTTCAGAGGGTGGAAGTGCAAGAATTAGCTGCTGGAGTCAGGAGAGGAAACATTGGGCAGAGTTCCAGCTCGCTATTCAGTACACCTCGCTGGAAAGTATATGTTGACATTGAACGAGATGCATGGTTGTGATGCCCCCTAAGATTGAAATAGCTTATCACACCTCCCGTTCTGCTTGAATAAAGTGACTGGCACCCATACTTCAGCAGGAGTTTGAACTTTTAATGAAGGAGAGAGAGAGATAGGAGATTGAGATTCCTTATAATAGTTGTGTAACCAATCCAATCAGTTTAGCTTTGAAGAAACAAAATGTGGTCACTCAATCCACAACTGTGTGTGGGACACTGCTGTGCGCAATTTTTGTGTGCTCTTTCCCAAAATCTATTTGCCTCCCATCTCTGCTTTCAAAATTATTCTTAAAAACCTACTTATTTGATTATGCCTTTAGTCACCTCCCTTCTATCTCCTACCCAATCTTATTCTGATTCCCACCCAATCTCAATTTCTAATAACCTCATTCAGTAAAGTGCTTTGAGACATATCTTTTACATGAAAGAGCTGTGTTATCTTTTGCATGGTTTTAGTAATTGGCTTGAAATTTTAACTACAGCAGTCATTATAGGTCAGGTGTACAAATGTTGATGGAGGCAGGAAAGTTTTATTTTGTCCAAGCACCTTTTGGGCAGGTAAGGATAATAATAATTTTTGAATTTCTTATGGCATCTTTCGCGTTCGGAAGATTTTGCTGAAGACAGTATGGTGATGTTGGAAATATATTCATAACAATAAGAGTTAGACCAAACAGTACAACTCCTAATTTAGAAATGAGACCATTGCTTTTTAGAGCACAGCTATATAAACAACAGCTTGCAGTTCTTTCCGCTTTTCCTATATGAAATTTACATTTCTAATTTACATTCCTATACATTTATATAGTAACCGCTCTATACTACAGTTTGGTTCTCTGTTGGATGTTGTGACTTATGCAACCATTACAGTGTAGAAGTGTATTACTGTTCACTTACATATAAACGTCTTACCTAGATTTACATATAGGATTATCTATAATGTAAAGAATTTGCAAATTAGAGTCTACAGATTTTTCTCTTGCCTTTGCTATTATATATCCAGTGAAGACGAGTGAAAGGCGCTTGGATGTGAGAACAAAGGTTAAGGGACATTGTGTCTCTGTCTATTTTTGTTCATCCCTGATCACCGGATTAGTGTTTATTTGTAGCTCACCAAGAATCTTAGTTTAAAAGGATAACGTCTTAAGCTAGCATGAACAGCCCAATCAGGTTTCCGTGCCGCCCACAGCACAGAAACAGCCCTGGTCAAAGTGACAAAAGACATTCTGTCCAGATGGACAGAGCTCCCTCTGCCTCCTTGTCCTCCTTGACCTCTCTGCTGCCTTCGACACCGTTGACCACTCTATCCTCATCCACCGCCTCTCCTTTCTCCTCAACCTTCACAGCTCTGTCCTTGACTGGTTCAGATCGTACCTCTCACACCGCCTCCATTTCATCTCCACAAACGGTTTCTCCTCTAACCCCCGCATCGTCTTGTGCGGTGTTCCTCAGGGCTTTATCCTTGGGGCCCTCTTCTTCAGTATCTATATGCTCCCTCTTGGTGACATCATCCGCAGAAATGGGGTCAACTTTCACATGTATGCGGATGACACCCAACTGTACCTCTCTGGGTCCACCCTTGGACCACAACTGTCCTGGCAGAATGTCTGTCAGACATCAAGTCCTGGATGAGAGCTAACTTTCTTCAGTTGAACCTCAACAAGACCGAGGCCCTCCTGATCGGCTCCCGTCAGCGCCTCCTCACCTCAGGCATTGATAGCATCACCATCCATGGATGCACACTTCACCTTACTAAGCCAGTCTGGAATCTTGACGTCTTGTTTGACCCTCAAACGTGAATCTTGTTTGACCCTCGTGAATTCTTTTTCTCATTTGAGAACATGGTTACAAAGACCATGGTTTGTATTCCGCTGCATTTGATAAGTCTTTGCAGAATTTAGAGCATATTATTGCATGTTGCCAAATTGTTTCTCACATTCACAGTAACTACATCAGAATTGCTGTCAGTGAAATGTGGATGTGTTTCTGCCTCGACATCCTAAAGTATCCCGGCAATCACTGGCACTTGGCATGGCTCCAGAAATAGGGTAAACACAAGGGTGCAATAATGGTGTTTCGGGGGATGAATTGGATGGTGATATATGAAGAGTTTTACACAGAAAAGCTTTTTAAAACGCTGTTGACTTGCATGTGATTTTTTTTCTTCACGTTTAATGAGCCTAGTGATCACTCTTGGGCATAGAATGTATTACAATTCTAAGAAAAAAAGTAACATTCAAGTCCATCCATTTTACTGACAACCTAGTTGCAACACTGGCAATTACACTTTAAAAATCTCTGCCTGGGTTTAGATCCTCTTTGCTGTTTCTTGTATGCTGAGAAGTATTTCTTTATCTCACTTCTGCCTCCTTCCCTTTCAGTTTATATATTAGCAATCTAGTTTGCTTCTCCCACCTGTTAAGAAATTTGGCATTAGCCCCCCCCCCCCACTGTACAAGACCTAAAAATTTGGTCTTAATAATAATAATAATCCTTGCATTTGATATAGCGCTTTTCATCTCTTCTAGACATCCCAAAGCGCTTCACAGCATATACTGTAAAGTGAATTGACTGTATATTTGTGGGCAAACGCGGCAGCCAATTGCGCACAACAATGTCCCACAAACAGTCGTAGATTGAAAATGACCAATTTATTATTGTTTTTTTTGGAGGGATTATTATTAGGCTGTGTGGAAAGGAAACTTGCCCAAGGTTTCGCCCTCTGCCTAGAAATTGAACTCAGATTTCTCGCTTGCAAAGCGAGTGCTCTAACCACTGAGCTACAGGACTCTTGTCAGTCATCAAACACTGTGATGAGATGGTCCTGCTGTGCATTTGACTGTTGAGTGTAAGCATCAGGGACAGAATCCAAACCCTAACTGCAGAAATTTAGCTGACCATTAAAAGGAAAGAAACATTTACAGAGACAAGGTGTTACTGAAACTGAGATATCGTACAGTGTGGCTCATTTGTTTTAATCATCTATTTCCGTGCTTTGTGTTTTCATGTGTTTTAGTTCTAAATTGATCTCATCCTGTACCAGTTGAGGAAAGAGGTTTTGGTCATCAGAGAGCATCTGTTTGAATGATATAAGGCGGCCGTGCTTTCAGCCACTATGCCCCGAGGCTCTGGAACTCCCTTCCTCACTCCCTTCCTCACTCCCTTCGTCTCGCTCCCTCTCTTCCTATTTTCAGGTCTCTGCTGAAGACCTTTCTTTTCGACCGCGTCTTTGGTCACCTTCCTCCCCCTCCCTCTCCCCCTGGCTCGGCCCCGGGATCCATTACTGTGAAGCGCTCTTAGACGCCGTCCAGCGTGGAGGGTGCTATATAAGCCCAAGTTGTTGTTCTTGTTGATACATAATTTGAGGTTGTTGAGCAAATTAGGGAAAAATCTGTATTGGAACATTGCTGTTGATTTTGTTTCTCCCCCCCCCCCCCCCACTCCTCAAACTATTGAGTCAAGTTTGGAGGTTGGACATGTTTCTCACCTGCTTGTTCAAACCCAAATCATTGCTGTTTTCTTCTGGCAGGCTTGCCTGGAGAATGATGCTGATCGTCATCGCAGCAGTCAGAGAGTTGATGAGGCTGAGCTTCATTTCAACACCTACAACAGCAACTTGCCAAACAAAGAGGGTGTAACTCAACACATTGATCAGACAGTACAGAATGAAGCCCTCTCGCAGGTCGGTGCTCTTTTTATTTGTTTTAAAAAAAGGTATCCTTTTTAAACTGAGATTCAGGGTGCTGTTTGCAATTTTCTTTAATGCTATGTGGATTCTTATGTTAAATTCCATAAGCCTCTTGGGTAAAGACATATTACAAGAATCTTTAATTGCTGCAGGGTATTATTGAATTTTCGAATGTCATCCATCATTGTAATTGATAATGCATATGTGTTCATATGTATTATCTAAAATTAGAGTTGCATTCACAAGTAGATCTAATAGTTGGAGGTCATTACAGTTATTGAAGGAGCTCTTTGATGAAGCTGCTTTCAGAAGTAAATGAAAAGCCTCATTGTAGCTTCTTTACTGTGGTTGAATGTTGAACGTCACACTATAATGCCATCAAGTGTTTAATAATGTGCATCTCCAATCTTTCCCTTCTGTTGTGAAGATGGTACACCATTAGTTCTTCATATTCCAGTTACATAATGTACCTTGGCTACGACTTTCCTGATTGTAAAAGCTTTGCTTTGGCATGAGGTACAGCTGAAGATGTGGTGGGTGGGGGTGTGTGTATGTATGTATATATTATATATATATATTTATTATATATATAATATATATCTACCTGGATATATTCCCAATTATATTCCCCTTGTGGGTTTATATTCAGTGGAAATCCCTAAATTGGGTCACCTGCCTGTCTTCATGCCTGAACCTTTCCAGCAAGAGCAGTGCTGTGGAAGATCTTTTCTTTTGCATAGACTAATATTTAAGTTCTTATGTCTACAGAAGTTCTATCAAGAGACACATGAAGCTCAATCAGAAGAAAGCAGGTAGGGACATACTTGAAGGATTCAGTTGAAGATTTTTTTTGTGGTTTCTAGTTGCTTGAATTTTTTTATTGCTGCTTTTTTTTAACATTGCATCTACCGGTAGAATGATTGGACGTAGGAAACCTGCTTTATACTTAACTGCTTCTAATTGCTGTCGGGGCCAGAGGAGACCACTACATATTAGCATTGTTTTAATCTTTAAAAACTGTAAAAAAGACATTGCCTGAAGATATTTTTTAAAAAGATGATAAAAGGATTATTATTATTTTTAAAAAATTGTTAAATGTTCCTGTTGACTTTGTTTCTCTGTTTTATAGAGAAGTGTCTTCTACAGAAAGCCTTCGGCAGTTGTCTGCTCAATTAAATGGCTTGGTGACTCAGGTGAGGCTGCGTTCTTTGATTCGATGTTTAGGGCAAAACAGTATTTCTATTTACTCTTTGTCTGGGTTTTGTTGGACACCACACCTTCTGGGGGTAGAGGGTGACATTCTCTGCTTACTGCTTTTCAGTCTGGCTGCTACTTTTGCAACTCCCCTCTCCCCACCTCCCTTCGTACTTTATATGGTGGCAAAAATTTTGAAATCAGTAGAACAAGTGGAATTAAACCTAGATCTGTTTAATATTACTACGTATTGGAGTTCCAACACACAGCATAATCCACCGTGCATAATTTAATTGCAAGGTCTGTGTAGAATTTTGATTTCTGCAGCATTAACTCAGGTAGATTTAGCCATTCCTATATGAAATGGTCGCTGTGAAAGTTCCTTGATGTGAACACCAAGCCCTTCTAGGTTTAGAGCTCAAGATTGGAGTAATCCTCTCTGGCAAATGACATCGCTGTGGCTTTTTATGCTATTAGTAGTTTCCGAGGAATTGTTTGGATTTGATTTAGCTTACCCTCTGCTGGGAGTGGGCACTTGAGGGAGGTGCAGGAATGTACCTTTTTTCTGGTTTATTTTACTTTGTCAGCGTGAAGCAGCATGTTTTATTTTCTTACTTCCCAGAACTCTTACATTAATGGTGAAAGTACAACAGCTACTGCCAGCCCCAAAGAACTGGAGGTAAGGTAATGCATGAGGAAAGGTGTATAGAGTGTAAAGAATACTTTTACGTTATTCATGATAGTTGTGCATAATAATGCAATAGCGCTGAAATGTTGGAAACTAAAACTTAAAAATAGTAAATTTAGATTGAATTCATGCAAAAATAACCTTTAAAACTATTTCTATCTTCAAGGGGCTTTTATTATTAAATGATTGCTTTTGTCCATCCGCTCGTGAAACTGAACTCATCTTTTTCATTTGTGTCGTTATTAAAACTTACCGTTCGATCGAATATGAACACTTGAGGCCATTTTGGATTTGGATCCTTAACTTGCAGACTGTTCAAAATGCATTTCATGCGGAATTCTGTAGTAATCTAAGAAAAAAAACCTACAGGAATATGCAAAGGCTGTCAATTCCAACTACTTTTAAAAAGGCTTAGACCAAAAGTAAAACATTCATCTTCATATTTCATTGGATAGCTGAAAGGTATTTAAATTTCTATGTGACACGTATATCCCAACTCAATGACTGCTTCCTAGTTTCCTATTCTACAGAGAAATTTCTTGCAGATTCATTTACTTCTTAAGCATGTGATAGTAGAATCTAGCGATAACATGATCACTTGATTAATTTTGACTTTTTATTCTTTCATTTTGTTTCTCCACTTCACTCTTGTCTGAATCGCTGTCTGCATGTGCACACCAGACACGAAACCAAGAGCTCGCAATAGCCCTTGACTCCAGCAGTTTAACAAATAGTCAACTAAGTACAAAGATAGAGGAATTGGTAAGGGAATGCAGAGTTGAATGTTGAACCAGCACTTGATGTTCTGTTGTCTGTGTGCTCTTCCCCCCCACTCCCCCTCTTCTCCTTCTGCTTGTTCGTTATGCTGTCTGATGTGAGAAGTTGATCAGAGATTGTCAAACAAGCCATATTAGGAGTGGAGAGAGCAATTCTACATCTTGCAATGCATTAATATCTTGCATTCAGAAATTGTTCCAGCTCCCAACTCATACAATATAAATGGAACTCAAGACAAGTTATTTGTCACTGACACTTGATCACTTGCATTCATTCTCTTGTTTGACCTAAAGCATTGCTAATCTTTCAAAGACCTTTTGCGTTACATAAGTGAATGAATCACTTTTCTGAAGCTATTGTAATTGGGAAGGTAGTCTAATGCAATAAATAACTTGTCATTAGGCTGCAGTTGGAATGTCCTGTCTAGGTCTGGGTCTCGGCTTCAGTGGCAGCAAAATGACCGGGTCTGAACAGCAGTTTGTTACTTGTAAGAAAGAACCAATTTAGGGTAACCTCTCACTGGGTCCTGGCTTGTTTATTAAAAAAAAGTGATATCTAGATTCAACCAGTGATCCTAACTGCACCAGACAAGTACTTTCTGACACATTCCCTCACATCAACTGCTCGCAATTCATTGCTACTACGTTCCCCAAGGCCATCTCTTGCTTCCCAGTGCTACCATTGTCATCATCCAATCCTGTCACTGAATCTGGTTTGATTCCCCTTTTGCTCCCTGATAGCAGCTGCACCACATGATACGTATTCTCCTGCACCATTGTTTTCCTTTAAAGTCTATCATAATTTCTTTGCTATTTAATTAATTAGTAGCAGCTTGTATTAATTATTTAATTTTCCTTCAGCCTTTCTGCCATTCAGTGTTTCTAATTTGATTTGAGCAAATTAAGTGATCTGAACTCCAGTAAGTGGTCTGATTGTAGCCTGGAACAGAACCCTTATGAATGACTTTTTTGCCCAATAATGGAACAGCATATGTTTTGAATAAATTACAGTTCAGGTAAATACATTTACTTATAGTAAGATTATTAAATTACCAGGTATAGCGTGTTTGGGGTATTTAATCCTAATGTAAAATCTTGCTCTGCACCTTGAAACTTAATTGTCAAGACAATGCCTTCACACAATGTGTTGATCTTTTCTTTTTTGCTTCTGATCATTCTCATAATCCATAAGTGTTGTTTAATCAAATTAAAGTGGTGTTGCCGACCCTTTAGAAAGTGCAATCTCACTTTCGTTTTTTAATCTAACCGATCAACTTCTCAGCATCTCTTCACTTTTCTTTTTGCATGGAATGTTAAAGATGACTATGTGGATGCCTGTCAAATGTTGCATGTATTCTGGCTTGAGCTGTAAAATAAACGCTGTGCTTTGCAGATGCATCCTGAAAATACATGGTAGTGTCTAAACAATGTGCTACATTTCGGTTAGAGGAGGGCATCATTATCTTCGAGCGCTCAATGAATTGCTGAGATACATTCCTTCACTGTAGAGACTGAGAGATTTATTCAACAGGTGGTATCTTTTTCGACAGTCCAAACAGTTTTTGAAAACAAAATGGGGGCAACCGTTCTGTCCCTCTGTCCTTGATGAAGTACTGTACCAGGCATGAAATTTGATTAGAAATTCTTCCCTTGCGAGAGTCCAAGATGAGTTGGTCAGTATTGAATTTTGAGATTCAAACTTTCATGTTCCTTAGATCTTAGGTACATGTACACAACCATTGGACTGTATTCACAGTGTTTCATGTCTGGAATTTTACCCGTACAGTTTCAGCTCAAATTGGAGAGATCCTGTGAAACAGTATTATTAACACCGCAATTCATCATTGTACAAATATCACTGGACCCTAAAAAAGCATCAGTGCATCAACATTGTTTGAATGATTATCCAAGGATTATTTTTTTTGGGAGTGGGTGGGGTGCGGGGGAAGACGAGGCTTTTTATCATATTTTTTCATTTGCCAAGCTACTCTAAAGCTGTTCACTCACCTCCCAGGAAATGTGGTCAGACAGCAGGCAGCTGAAATCCCTTTGAATAGCAACCCTGGCAGGACTGCAGTTTTTTTTGTAATTTTAACTTTTTTAATAAAGTCAACCTATGAGATTCGACAGATTCACAATGTAAGCAATTTTTTCTCCAAATAATTAAGTAGTGTGAATAGTTTAAACCTGCCAGATTGTCTTGCAATTCTAATGAAGATCTGTTTTTTATAATAGTAGACGATAGATTCGTAGCATACAGAACTGGAAGTATTGATGCCACCAGGCTGTAAAGCCTACTTGATAGGACTTTAATGTGCTGTTCTCTGATGCGATTAAGAATGACAGCTTGAGTACTGATTCTAAAACCAGCATCTCTTCCGGTTCATTGAGATTACCACCACAGTGCAGTTAGAAATCATGCACTTATTTAGGTACCAGGAATGTGCAGGGAAGTCCCCCAGAGACAGTCGAAAGGTAATGTGTAAAAATGTTTCCTTAAGCTCTCTCCATTTTCTACACTTTACAGATTTTGATGGTTTTATCATTTTTTTTGCTCAAATAATAAGCCCGTGTTATTTCGGCAAACAATTTAGTTTGCATCAAAATAACAGTAGTTTGGAAAAATAAAAATACCTGTTTGCGTTTTTTTTAAGTAAATGTTCTGAAATGCCTTTCGGAAATGTCTTGTTAGTTGATATTAGTGCCTTGAGTAAAAATGATTGATGGAGCTAGGACTCTTCAATGTGTTATTGCAGAGTAAGGTTAAAATGAGTATTTGAGTTTTGGTAACTCCTTGTAACTTACTGCTTGTTATTTTTTCTGTAATAGAAACAAAAAAACCAGGAGCTTATTGATCGGCTCGATAAGGTAAAGTTTCTCTTTTTGAAAACTTTTTCTTCAGCTTATTTCTATGGTCACCAGCCGGATCAGGTGGAAAGGATTATGGGATGACTTGTACCATGTCTTAATATTTTTTATTTTTTTAATGTTTTGTATATTTTCACCCACAAAGTTAAAACCACTTTGCAATATATTCTGTGAAACGCTTTAGACGTCTCAACGATGTGATAAGGCGCTATATCAAATACAAGAATTATTATAATTATTATTAAACTATCCTGTATGAAGCTCCACAAAAACAAGCCACTTCCCCATCACTATTGACATTTTCTACAGTGGTTAAATTGAATTTTATTGTGCTGCTGATTCATTTGATGTGTTTTAGATTGTACGAAGAGACTTCAGAAAGGTCATCTTTGTATCATGGTTATAATTCTAAATGCGTCTCCCATCTTATCACAGGAGAAGAAAGATTCAGAACAGAAATGTACTAAGGATCAGGCATCGATGAGGGAGCAACTGCAAGTAAGTGGAGGTCTGCTTGGAAGTGACTGGTTTAGGAAAGATTGGTTTCTATTGAAAGTTTCATACTTCAAAAATGTTGCAATTCAAGAAGAGAAACACAAGAAAGTATCTGGTCTTCATTGCCTTTTTTTGAGAAAAAGTCAAAACAATTTTGCGCTTGGGTTAATGACTCCAGTGGTTACACAGCATTCTAATTTCTGTTACTGAAAATTGTTTTTCAAATGGGTTAGCTTTGCAAATATTTAAAAGTGGTCCTGTTGACCCCAGGATTGGTGTATTTAAATGGTGGTGAATGAGTGATACAAACTGTTTTCCGCCCAAAATGTCTAGAACTGCTTATTATTGTTGATTACCGAATATACCGATGGCAAAATGCGAACAGGCTTGATATCGTTTTGCTCCATTGCAGGTTCACATCCAGACAATTGGGATTTTGGTTTCGGAAAAATCGGAGCTACAGTCTGCACTAGGTCATACACAGCAGGCAGCAAGACTTAAAGCAGGTAAAAAAACATTTGGGTTCATTATCCACAAGAAACAACAACAATTTGCATTTATATAGTGCCCTCCATGCCGGACAGTGTCTCGAAACAACCAAGTCTCTGATGACAGCCTTTGAGTGATGAATTATCAGGAGTTGACTAACTGTATTCTGCTTACAATATTATGTGTTTCAAAGGACAGTGATTTTCTAGAACGTTAACATTGGTTTGTGTGCATGTTTGAAGTGTTCTGGCTGAGCACTTTTCCTACATTCCATCACTTGCAGAGATTAACAGTCCCATGAAGCAAATTTCAACCGTGAAGGGAGTTTCTTCTGGTATGTGATCAACCACTCCTCCAGATTAATTGGTCATTCACCTGTTGTGGGACTCTGCTCATTGCAAAACGATTGCTTTTTGCCTACAAAAAGCTGTCATTGACCTTGACAGCAATGATTGGTGAAGCACTTTGGATGTTGCTCAGGCTTTGAGATCTTTCGATGTGACCAGGCCCTATAAAAATGCAAGTTTGTTTCCAACCTGTGTCCAAAAATGATGTTAGTAATACATCTGTGGTCGGACCAATAGCAGCTGGAATGAGCAGACACCCTTGTGTGCCTGTTTAGTTTCCATATACAGGAGTCATTTGAATAAGTGAAACTTTGTTCCTCAGCCATAAGAACTAACAGCAGTTCCATTGTTGAGGCTTGAATTCAATTATACTTTTGGCTCCTCATTCAGCATCAATTTGAGGAGTGGAGGGAGGGAGGATGTAACATCCTGGAGCCAAGAGCCATGAGCTCTATTAGGAAGCAAAATAAGCAATGACTGGATGTCTGCAACACTCTGGACATTTGCGAGTGGAGAAAGTAGTAAGGATCCATTGTACATGGAGACTTTTGGTAGGGTAAACACTTGGACTGTTGTGCATATTTCTTATTGTAAAGGTGGTTGGCAATCTAGTTAGTCCTTTGGATGGATATGTTGAGATTGACCAGCAAGATGTGCATGTCTTTTGGAATCCAGCTCTGCTTCACTCACCCCAGCAAGAACTCGTTTGTGATCTGTAGAGAAAGTAAACTCAGAATAATGTTGTCAGATACACAAAGACAGAAGGGCTGTGAATGGCAAATTTAAGGGCAATCCCTAGAAGAAGTATCTATTTACAGAGAGGGTAATGAACAGCTGATCTGGTTATTAAGAGCTTTCCTGATAGAGGCCAGGTTACTGGACTTGTTTAAAAGCCTAATACCCTGTTGGGAAAGCTTTGGGATTGGTATTTTGGAAGGGTGAGAATAAACATTTATCTGAACCTCTCCACAAAGAGTTTGTTTTGAATTGAGGCTTCTTAAAACTTGGACATCTATTTCACATTTTTGTTGGTTATTGAATTTTAGCCCTTACTTGGCATCTTACACTTACCCTTCCAGGTGAAGCAGAAGAGCTAAACACCAGACTGCAATCCACGCGCCAAAGAGTGGCAGAACTGGAACGAACCCTATCATCCATCTCATCCCAACAGAAACAGTCTGACAAAGTAAATGCACATTTATTGCAGTCTTGTTGCTGGGGTTGGGGGTGGTGCGGTGGGGAGTTGTGCCTTATTTTATCCCATGGTGACTTTTTTTTCCTACAGGTCAGCAAAGAACTTGAAAAAGAACGAGAAAACCTTAAAGTTGAATTGTACAGACTAAAGTGAGTTGGGAAAAATAATTAAGCACATTTTTATAAAACCTCTCGATTTTTAGAAAGCAGTTAAGTCAAGGACCAAACTTGCTTTTGTTCCACAGCAAAATGAGTGACGAGCTAAAGCAACAGAATTCTGAACTATCGGAACAGTTGCACTCCAGGGTATCGGAAAACGGTTCAATGAAGAGCAAGATTGAAGATCTGCACAAGAAACTGGAAATGGCCGAGTTGATGATTCAGCAAGTAAGACTTTTATTTAAAAGAATATCAACTATTTACAAAGTTCGATCAAAAATCCAGACAAGCTGAGTATTCGTGAGTGCTCGACAGACTGATGGGTGATTGTGAGTGACTGATGGACCAAAAATCTGGTTCGAAAGACAGTTGCCCTCTGCCAGAGCTGCCCCACCTTTGACACAGAATCAAATTGCTGCGAGAGAGATGATTTTCTGTGCCACGGTGTCTCTGGTTGTAAAACTATTTTTAATGCAAGTGAGGGTTAACAGCATTGATTACTCTAAAGATTTAGCATTACGACAGAAATGCATTGTGCTTGGTTCAGAGTTTGTTGCGATTTTAATTAGATCCGTCTCTGTTTTATGTCTTCTCCCAGTTTACAAATCAATCGGGATTACCAGGTGGAAGCCAGCAGTTACAAACGGCTCTCAATGAAAAAGCACATTTGGAGGCACAAATGATCCAGGTGAGAGAAGTGGTGGAAAATTACAGAACAGTGTTCAGAGCCAATTGCAAGATAAAGGGGTTTCCTCACTTTCCGTAAGTGATTGGCGTTCAGGGAGTTATCTGTTGGCTTTAGTGGTGAATAGTAGGAAGGGGGGGAGCAGAGGTGGAAAGAAGAGATGGAAATGGGGGTGGTGGACGAGAAACAGTTGATATTTGTTTAAAAATGGGCAGTGAATGTGGATGATCTGTTCCAGAAAGCTGCAGCGCAGAATCAGTAGGAATATTAAGCAAGGGATCTAGGATCTTTCGGTTAAGAAATTCCGAGGCAGGGTAAATCAAAAGTCAGGCTTTTAGTATGCAGCATATCATGTTCACTCCTCAGAAAGAAGTCCGTTGGCCAGTTGTGGTGTGCTGATGTTAGCTCCCCCACTGGAGAGATCTGCTGTAATGCACAGTGAATCAAGAAAGCGACAAGATGCCTTGGAATATGTTACGCAAGCAAAAAGATAATGCCAAATAGCAGTTAGAGCAATAATGGTTTATTGATGCTGTCATTTTATTTCAACCCGGCTGAGTGACATGGCGCGTTGTTTGTAGAAGACTAATTAAAAAGGAAATAAATATTGCTGCTATTGTGTCTTCTAGCTGTCTGAATCATTGCAAAAGCTTCGTGCTGAAAGGGACCAGTACGCCCAAAAGCTACAGGAGGAGGGCAGTATTTGGCAGGAGAAGATTCATCAGCTGGCAGCACAAGTAAGCAGCAAGAGTAAGAGTTCTGACTGGCTGTATGGGATCTATAACTGAACTGTTTGTTTCAGACAGCACTCAATAATCAAATACATTTCAATTCTCAAAGCGACAAACTGCTGCTGTATGGTTAGGTGTATAATTACATCGCCATCCTAGCTCAGTGCATTTCTTCATATAATCACAGAACATTTAGATCACAGAATGAGGCCATTCAATCCATCAAACAATGTAGCTTCTGCGAATGAGGACTGCTCTAATCCCATTCCTCCACTCTTTTGCCGTACCACTAATACCTCTTCCTCTTATTTTCATTAAATGCCCCAATTAAACCTGCTCCAACAGATACCCGAGGCAATTCATTCCACATTCTTAGCAACCTTCTGGGAGATTTTTTTTCCCCTAACTTTCCCTTTTATGCTCCTACTTGTAATCTTAAAAAAACTTCCTTCTCCTCCTTGAATCGATTACCAACTAAATAGTTTCTCGCCCTCAATGCTTTCATTAACTTGAGCATCTGTAAAATCACCTCCTAACCATATCTGTTCTATTGAGAAGAGTCCTTAACCTCTCCAGCCTCTCCTTATGACTATATTCCCGTAAGGCTGGTATCATTCTTCTGAATTATATCTTCTACTCTATATTATTTTGTATAGAAAAGAATGGAAAACAAATCCATTTGAGTAGTAGTTAGGAAATGCCAATCTTAGACTATATATAGAGGGAATGGCAAACCTAACCACGACTTCAAAATATCGCAAGACAGGTAGAGATGGAAGTAAAACTTAAGTTTGATATCAATTTTATCTGCTACCCACTACAGAATCCTGAAGTACTTATTTTTCTTTGGTGTCCTACAGTATGGACCTTGACACTTGACTTGCAGATTCTAAATAGCATTTATTGTGATTAATTTGCAAATGTCATTCATGAGCGTCATTCTGGGAGAAATCAAAACTCTTTTATACAAAGATCAAAGCAGATGATTTGCAGTGTGTGTCTGACACTGAATATTTTGGGCACTTTTCCCCTTGGTCTCAGTTTAACCACTGAGTTTGGGATTTTGCAGATAACTGTACTTTCAGAGGAGAAAGAGTGCAATCAAAACCATATCCGGGAACTGGAGACATCATATACTGAGCTTCAGACCCGATCAGGTAGGTTTTATTGTCATTAAGGTGATAGGGGTGAAAGTTTTCACCTTGCTTATATCATTTCATGTGCTTTTTGGATTCTGCTTGCGTAATGTTGAATGGAATTATGTCATGTAAAGATCTTCTAACACATGAAGTTTCTGCGTAATAAATTGTGTTCTTTCCTTTGGTGGGGAGGGAGTGGGGGACTCAATTTTTTAAATTGCCTCTTTTCAGTTCCCAAAAAATGATAGGAAAATGTTTGTGTAGGAGCTTGAAAATCTTCCCCCAATTAGTGCGATTTTAGGAAAATCTCAACCATATATTTAGAGATCTTTGATTCCTCTAGCAAAAGAAAATCTTGGACAGTATAGTATTTGCAAACATTTTGCATCTTTCAATAAAACCTTGAGTAAATTCCATGTCAAGGTGGAGGCCACTTTTCTGATGTCCTGTAATTTCTGTTGCCCACAATTGAAAGCTAAACATTGGAATTGGGATGCTTCACCCAGCCAGGGATTATTGAGTGGCAACCAACTACAATTTTATGAACTGGCACTTGTTGGGATTTGTGGGATGATTTTTAAATCCCCCTCACACATGCCTGTTTCTCACAGCTTAATTATTTTCAATATCGCAAATAGATGGTACACAGTAAGCCTTTTAGAGTTTAAAATCCTGCTGGTGCTCTATTATAGCACAACAGTGTGAGGTCCATGAAAGCCAGACAGCACCACAGCCTGAGGGTCCCACAGAACACGAATTGGCTCTGCAGGCAGACATTCATCGACTGGAACAGGCGAAGGAAGAGTTGTACACCCAATATCGGGCACAGGTAGGAGAATTTTACTGTCCTAAAGCAGAACTCTGGAGAATTATGTATCAGAAAAAAGTCACTCAACTTTAGAGTATCTCCTGTGAAGTGCTTTAGGACATTCATGGGCCTCTATCACCTTGGGGCGCCCTCCCGACATGAAAGGCGTAATACAAATGTAATTTTGTATTGTATCCTCCCGATGTGAAAGGCACATATCGAATGTTTATCGTTATATAATAATCTACAGGAGTTAGATGCATATTGCTGATTGAACATTTCCTCAATTCATAAAATGCAGCAACAGTTGAAGCTATTTTAAACCTTCTGATGAATCTTTGCAGCTGCCTCTTGTGTGAGGTTCAAAATGCTTTTTTTAACACAGAGCGCAAAATATTTGAAATTCTGTCTGGGAATAGGCGCACTATGCTGCCCACCTTCTTATTTAGCAATAAACCCAAAGAAAAGGAAGGCAAGTAAAACAAAAGAGATCCCAACTAAAACAAAAGCCATCCCAGACACGAGACCTGCTTTAATGATTTAGTATGAACAGTATGATGTACTGTTTCTAATTTGTTTTGAGAAAATCTCATTCACCGAGGCTGTACCACGATTGAAGATCTTAATTTATCACCTTGTAGCAGCAATCCCCAAATGCACTCTGTTTAATAAGTTGTGACTAATTTGGGTGGATTGCTGCGGTAAAAGTAATAATGGCCCAATTTATGTGGCCTACATTTCAAACCTGCACCATTGCGTTCGTTACCCTGTTCAGATTTTTCTTGCTTTGAGCGACGTTACTCACTTTGCATGAATCGGAGCATGCTGCATTGTACTTGGAGACTGCTACACTTGAGGATCTTGAGCAAGCTGTGCAAATCTGTAGCTTTGGCTGGACGTCAAAATGCTATGTGCAAAGTCGGTGAGCTCTGGCCTTCAATGAGCATTCTGTAACGGCTACTTGAATTTTATAATTTTAGGTTTTGTGTTGTGCTAACACAAAATTCATTACCTGAACGTGTCGCCGATTTATCTTGGAGGCATGGCTGTGCCTAATTTACATCCACCCACCCACCCACCCACCCTGGCTTTAAGTAGCTTTTCTGTTTTCCAAAAATGTATTCCCCCCCAGAACTGAATATCAATGTCAAACCAGTGGGGACGGTGGGAATATATTTGTCAAGTTTCCACATTTGATTTGAACGATGCCTTCTCGACCTCGATGGTTTCTTCAGGTTGGCGACAACGAGCAGCTGAGTCGCTTGAACCAAGAGCAGGAGGAGCGGCTGCAGGAGTTGGAGCGCACAGTGCAACGCTACAACGATGACACAGTGGACCGTCACCAACTGCTGGAAAACATGCAGAGTGACAAGGTCACCATCAGCAGAGCGCTGACACAGAACCGGGAGCTGAAGGAGCAGCTCGCAGAACTTCAGAACGGATTTGTTAAACTTGTGCGTATCACACAATCATCTCCTGTAAAGCATATTTTTACCATCTTAAATGCTTGAACCCATCTACTTAATTCCAGCTTTTAATCATTCATTCATGTGATTGGTCTTCAATCCCAATATTCTATATAAGACCCCAATGATAAACATTTTGCTGTTGAAGTTCTTGTTTGAATTGAATAAGTGGGTGATACAATCAATTAAACAAATGATGTTCCCTTGCTCCACTCTTCCTCCTAACCCCCAATCCACCCCCTCCCCCCGGCTCCTTTCCAAAGGTATATATTCTCCCACCAAAGTATTGTTTTGTATAGTAAGCTTCTGTAATTCACAATTAACTTTTGAGAAAATTAGCAAGCTATGGAAGCGATGCAGCGTTGAATTATTTTATTTGTATGGTCAGCAAGTTCATCGCTGAATTGCAAGCTCTTGTGTGTGTTATCTGGTGTCTGACCGCCCTAATGCCCACAGACAAACGAGAACATGGAGCTTACCAGCGCATTGCAGTCCGAGCAACATGTGAAGAAGGAAGTGGCACGGAGGATAGGACAACTACAGGAGGATCTGGCAGAATTGAAAGAGAAGGTATTTATTTCTGCCACAAACATGAGTTAGGATATTGAATGACTCTGCAAGGGATCATTTATATTCAGACAGCAGCTTTGTGAATGAGGCATTTATTCATGAGCTTGCAGCTCTTGCTCTTTAAATGTACAGCTTTGTCCTTTAAATGCATTTTGTCTTCCAGTTGCACACAATGTAAGGCGTCCTTTGTGAAGAGATTAAATAAAAAATCCTGCAGACATAAGCATCCGTGAGATCTGATTGAGTTCTAGATTCAAGCAAACCGATAAAAATTCAGTAGATAAAGAATAAAGAAAATTGCCCAAATTACATATGCATAGGATGCAGATCGGACTGGAGAATCAAATTCATTTTTTTTAGAAAGTGGACTATTGTGAGCCTATTTTCATGTTGTTTGATTCGGAAAATTATCCTACAGAGCTTGATACAAACCAGGGTCACATTATGTCTGGGACCACATTCCCTTGTTCTCCTGAAGACATAATTACGGGGAAGCTCATTTTGAAAGCAGCTTGGGTAATTTCTCATTCATGCGGATACTTTTGGCAGCCATTGAATATTCTTTGTCCATGTTTTACTCCGTCACACCCACTTGGGGGGTAGTGGTGGCACAGAAACGTTGTATGAAGTGTACAAATGTTTAAGTAATAGGTGTCGGGAAAGGACAAAAATCTCTATTTTAAAAAAAATTGAAGGAAATTTCATCAACGTCCATCCTGGGAAATGACATTACCTCTTTATATGCCCACTTCTCGACCAAGGGGCAGGGTAGTCTGTGCCTCACATTTTGTGATTTTTTTGGCATCAGTAACCATTGAAGTGGTGTGAAACATTGAACCAGTGTCATTTCCACTATCTTCACATGGCACTGAATCCAGGATCCCTGTCCCAAGACTAATTCATCCAATACATTTCAGAGTTCTTGGTCTTGTGATCGTCACTGAGCTTAATCTTTGTTGAAAAGTTTATTTGCTTACATAGAGTAATTGCCCTGTTTGCAAGAGCTGTATGTTTTTAACTAGTTCAGCTGATGTTACAATGTCACTTGGATGTTTTCTCAGCTTGATCTGAAATCGCTGGAAGCTCAGGGCTTGCTGGAGCAGAGGGATCAGTTCTACGCTCATCTACAGCAATACACAGCAGCCTACCAGCAGCTCATCAGTGAGCGAGAGGAGCTGCAAAAGCAATACCTGCTCCAGACTCAACTCATGGATCGGCTCCAGCATGAGGAGGTACAGGGGAAAGTTCATATCGAAGTGCACCAGAAGGACCTTCAAGTGACCAAGGTGAGATTAACGTTTCAATTAGGAGAGAGCAAGTTGTGCTTACGATGGAACATTAAGAAGATTATCTGGATGTGCAACAACAATAACAAATTGCACTTGTATTGCGCCCTTCATGTTGGAAAGACGTCCCAGGGCGCTGGTCAGGAGGGGTGGAGAGCAGGGGGTGGGGTTGGGAGGGAGACCAAAGGCACAGTCGAAGAGGGAGGTCTTTAGACAGGACTTGAAAGAGGCAAGAGACGGAGTGAGGCAGAGGGATTGTGGGATAGAGTTCCAGAGTGGGGGCAGAGATGCTAAATGCCCGCCTGCCAGTGGTGGGGCGGAAAGTGCGGGGGACCTGAAGCAGGAGGGAGTGGACCGGCTGATATGGGTTTAGGAGGCCGGAGAGATATGCATGCCATTTTACCAGTATATTCTTTTGATAACCATTCGCAGTGTAGGGTGGAATGATCGTGCCAACTTCATTTGACATTACAATAGTGGCCTCTGAAACTGAAATGCATCTTAAGATAATAAAATGATCTATTTTATTAATAAAAGGTGTCCTTTTCCTCCAGAGGCAAATCGAGGAGTTGAACAAGGAAAACGAAACATTAAAGGCGCAGATCAGTACACTGACAACGGAACTGAATGGAATCAGCCCACAGCTCAGAATGCAAGGTCTGGGGAAGTTTGCCTTTCATTTTCGAACCGGTTTTAAAGTTTTTTTTAAAGAAAAGCTTTTTCCCGCAAATGAGATTTCACTAACATTCCGCTGTGTTGAGTGCAAAGGGAAAAATTCAACATTATTGCCACGCTAAGCTTTTTAAATTTAAAATACAGTACCTTGATAGGGCTGTCACAAAAATGAAAGTTACAAGTAAACTATTGAACTATCTAGAAATGAAATTGAAAGTTGGTCTCTGTCTGCAATAAATACAATTTTTGTATCCATTTCTTTATTAAGGGGAAACGAGTGGAAATGAGTTACTTCAGTGAGGCTTTTATTCCATAATTTACTTCTCCACTGAATTGAATATTTAACCTCAACCCCTCCGCCTTGCCCCCCCGCCCCACTTTCAAATCCAGCCTAAAGACCTTTTTGATCGTGCTTACAGTCGCCTGCCTCTCCCCCTGGCTCAGGGTCAGACTCCACCCCAGTCAAGCGCTCCGGGACTCTACCCTGCATGAAGGGCGCTATATAAATGCAAGTTGTTGTTGTTACACGTACAACAGGTGATGGTGTAGAAAGTTATGGCGGTCTCCCCGAAGGAATCCAGAAGAAACCAATCATAATACCAGAGGACTTTGAAAGTAAAGAGGAAATGGTAAGCTGGTTTTCAATGTCATCTTGATATGTGCTCCTCCTGGATAGCTTCCTGGAGGAGCACATAGTAACATGACAAAATGGCCCAAATGGCTTCCTATTGTGTCATACATTTCCAATGTTCCTTGGATAAGTTTGGGTTAAGAATTCCTTTGGCTGTTCATTCAACTTTCCAGAATACCCACCCTACATTCTTCGATTAAAAGATCAAACTGTTTCTTAAATGAGTCCAGTCCCCTTACCTGTCCTCCGTCTCTCTACCTAATAAGTCTTTTCAGCTGTTATTTACACATTGTGTGAAGAAATATCAGGTGTTTGTTTCAAACTTGCCAATTCCAAACCTGAAAATGTGCCCTCTTGTCCCGCTGTGTTGGCATATCTGAAAGTATTATTCTGGATTTATTTTTTCTATCCTGTTGAGCTTCACAAACCTGAACATGTGCTGTGGTTTATCTGGACACTATTCTGGGTTTAGTGGCTTGATGCATTTAATTAACAATAGGGTCAAGATAATGTTTAAAATGGAGACCACAACTCCAGCCATTCTCAACACCATCTAAAGTCTTTGAGTGGATTACAGCCCACAATTCCTCACCGCTGTCTTATACAGGAAGAAATAGGATAGTGATGTTCTCAAACATAAACAATAGAAATTCAGACTCCAGCTTTTATATAAACAGGGATGGAACTACTATATCTGTTGAATAGATGAGTGTAATTGTCTCATTACTGGGCATGTTTTTCCATATTTGTTTCTCAGACTGCCTTCCTGAAATCAGCAATAAGCCAACTTGAGGATGAGCGAGATGAGCTGACACAGCAGTTCTTAGAACAGAAAGGACAGCACCAGGCATTACTGCAGCAGATGTCAGCCCTGAGGAGCAACCAGGAACAGCCCAGAGGTATTCCATTCCCTTTTCCACCCATTTTTCTAAACTGACTGCATGGCAATGTGTTCTATTAAAGGTCTAGTGAAGCCTCATTTATCTGATTCTGCCACCTTCCCTCGCACGTGAAGGTGAATATTCCAGAATTCTGCAGTTGTCTTTCTACAACAACTTCGAGCAAAAGAACTGGTTTATAGAGTGCTCTTCCCCCTATCTGAGCACAGTGCCAAAGGATAGTGCCCAAACCATGGTTGAGTGTTCAAACATCCTTCCGATACCATGACAAATCAACAATTAAGATCAATGGCCATAAGCTTCTCCTACCTCTTCAAATAACAGCAAAGTCCAAATGTAAATTAAGTTTATAGCATATAAATTGTGTCCAAGCAATTCGCCTTTATGGTTCCAAACTTCTGAGCATGCAATAGAACGGTTTTCTTTGCCCCCGAGCTGATTCTTAAATTAGTCCATTGTTCTGGTCTCTGCCTGGTAACCGTTCCAGTGGTTCATTCTTATTGATGTCAAATAATACTTCCTGGTCTCTGACCTAAATTTGCTATTCTTACAGACTGGTCGAATCAAATGGGAACATTAACTTTTCTCTCCCTTTGGATGCCGACTGATGCTAGTTTCTGGAATGTGTCAGCTCCATGCTTAAATTTCATATCCAGCGAACCTTTATTTGTTACCAGAAGCTTGTTAGAAGATTGTAAACTATTCTGCCAATTGACTGGGAAGTCAAATTCTTGTACGTAATGTGTTGCCGTCCAATTAATGAGCACCCAACATGTTGGAGTAGATTTTATTTATGTTAAATACTCACCATGTCCTTTTGCCTGGAAGCTTGGATTGGCTTAGGCACCTCTATGTGATTGGGGTTAATTCGACAATGCACAATAATGGGATTTGATCAAACCACAAATGTCCCACAATATAGATAATTTGCAGGAAGTGTGACTTGCTTTACTTAAAAGGTTACAGTTAGAAAAAGGTATTTTTCCTGTGTTTCCCAAACCTAATTATATATTCATCATAATCTGGAATATTTATAGAATCCCTTGATAATATGAATTAAATCTTTAACATCTTTCTCGCAAACCCAGCAAGGAAGCACGATTTCCTTTATGAAAGCTACAATTATAGGAGACCCAGCAACGTTCACTAAAATTGACCATCTGGGAAGAGGGTCTCAGCTATGGTTGGATAAACCTGAGTTATATTCTTTAGAGTTGATAAGGTTACAAGATTATCTGTTGGAGGTCTTTACGATAATGAAAGGAATTGGCGAAGTGGATAGGGAATAACACTGATGATTGACTACAGAACAATGAGACATTTTAAAGTTAGAATTGCTGGTTGAAAATGAGATTAGAAACATTTCTTTGCATAAAGAATTGCGAGAATATGTAATGCATTGCTCTAAATGCATTTCAAATTCTCACAAACCGTAAATGCACAATGTATTGAGATGTTTAAAAAAGATATGTATTATGGAGAGAGAGTAGAGAAATTGAATGAATTATTTTTCTTGGTTCTCAGGAACAGTGAACAGTACCGACACCATTCCAACAGAGGTGCATGAAGCCCTGAAAGCTGCTATGGACAAGCTACAGGTTAGTGAACACAGATTTATTTGTTTGTCTATTCAAGAACCTTTTGGAGCCCATTAGCAGGAAAAGCTCTGGCATCCACAATTGCAACTTTATCTTCCTCTCCAATTGTATTGACAAATTAGTTGCTACATGCTGGATTTGTGTTTCTACGAGTATCATGAATAAATACTGTAAACAAGCATTTTATGTAATATTGTTGGATAATGCAGCTTTGTTTTAGGAGTTGTCTAAAATGTATTCTGGATGGTTCCCTCTGTCCAGGCAGGACGAAACCTTGGGCAAGTTTCCTTACTCCACACAGAGCCTAATAATAATTCCTCCAAAACCAAAAACAATAATTAAATTGGTCATTTTCAATCTACGACTGTTTGTGGGACATTGCTGTGCGCAATTGGCTGCCGCGTTCGCCCACAAATATACAGTCAATTCACTTTACAATGTGTTCTGTGAAGTGCTTTGGGACGTCTTCCCGACGCGAAAGGCGCTATATCAAATGCAAGGATTATTATTATTCCAGTAATAGTGTTGCAACACTGTTCTTATTCACAGCTTCAAATCCTGCTGATGGAACCCAGGTGAACAATACAATACAAAATTACATTTGTATAGCGCCGTTCACATCAGGAGGGTGTCCCAAGGTGCTGCACAGTTGGGGATTTGGACCCCAGCGGGGGGGATAAGGGAGGGTAAGAGGGTGGCTGAAGGCACGGTTGAAGAGGAGGATCTTGACATGTGCCTTCAAGGAGGCAAGGGAAGGAATGAGGCGAAGGGAATGTGGGATGGAGTTCCAAAGGTGGGGGCAGAGGCTGAAGGTCTGACTGCCGATGGTGTCCAATGAGTGAAACCTTGAGCTAGGACCATGTCCTTTGGCTCCCATTTCTGTACCGTGTTCACTGGGCTGATGCATTGACTGTTCTGTTGACAATGTGACCTCTACTGCTGCTTCCCAAATAACACGTTGAAGCTAGTCTGCGTCCCTTGGCTTTCAGATGGAGTGTTGGCCTCAGACACATCAGGTTCCTGCAGGATTTAATATTTACTCATCTTTTTGCCCTCTGTCAAGAAGCAAGTTGAAATGTATACTTGTGACCATGATTGACACAAATGACCAATTGTGTGATCATGCATTAATACCTATAATTATCTTCTTGTATATTCTGATGGAAGGATCTGATGTCTTGGTTTGCGTCAGGTCCCACTGTTGCTAATGTTTGTTTTTATTTAAATTCAAAGGTTCGATTTACAAACCTGATGCAGGAGAAGGTAGATCTGAAAGACCGAGTGGAAGAGCTGGAGCATCACTGCATCCAGCTGTCTGGGGAGACGGACACAATAGGTATCTTATTTAAGAGATACTCAACTTTGTTAAACTGCACACACTGAGAACCCCCTACTACCCTACTACTCAATAGAGATACCACAGTTAGATTTTCACTTGTTTTCGCAGTCACAATTTATATTTTTCTGCCTATTCTAACCTTTACTTACCTATTTAAAACTTCTAAAGTTCTGCAGCTTTCTCCCTGCCCTCGTTCCTTTCAAGCGCTTTCTTTGCTAAGTTTCTCCTCTCCAGAATGCTTTTCACTCCTTTTCTCTTCCGTTGGGATACAGTTCCACAGATGCCAACAGCTTGCCTAAGTGGCCTTTATTCAAGTGTGACTTATTGACAGTGAGTGTTGCCAGGATATTGAAACATAAAGGGTATTCTACCTAAGCCCCTTTTCTATCCTCATCCAATAATGCTCCTTCTAGCAGTTCTTCCTAGGTAACGATCAAGAGCAGGAACCCTGGCTGACTTCTCCTTCCCTGACGTAGAGATTCTGAAGCCAATTTTGGCCCCAATTGCTGCCCAGAGTACAGACGAGGATTAGAACTTGCTCCAGGTTGCTTCTTGCTGACTCAGCTTTTACCCACTTGGCCACTGGAAGGGCTTTGAGCAGTTTTTGATGGCTTTTTATAGGTCTTCAGTTTCCAGCCAGTAAATGGCCAAATCATAGATTTGATTGTCAAATCGCGAGCATAATTCTTACATCGACAGTGAAAGTGAGCACTACAAATAAGTAAACTGAAACCCAGCAGTATCTCGGCAAGTGAGCTTGTCAGTTATCTCAGTAAAAGCTTATAGCTTTTTTTAGCACCCTTTTTATGATGAAACTATTAACTGAATCATCTAAACTATGATTATTGATGACACTGAATTTACAGTAATAAAGCGTTTTTCATAAAAATGTGGTTATCTGATCTGTATTTGGACACTGTCCACTGAAGTGGAACCAACTGATTTGTTCATATACTGCCATAAAACAATTGAAACACTGAAGTTTGTATAGAGATTTGAAACAGCTCACGGCTTCTACTGTCTGTCTCTACATGACTGTCTTTCTGTCCGTGTTTCATCCTTGCCGGAAGTGATCAGTGATGTAGATGGAAGCGTTTGGTGTTGAGTCTTCCTTTCCAGCCTAATGAAATGAGGGTTAATTTTCTGACCTTGTTTATCAGGTGAATACATTGCACTTTACCAGAGTCAGAGAGCCATTCTGAAACAGAGGCACACCGAGAAGGAGGAGTACATAAGCAGACTGGCTCAGGATAAGGAGGAGATGAAGGTATACACAATCTGTTTTTAAACTATCTGCTAAGGTTTTTAATCGTATCGCTTGTTATCTTTTTAAATAGTCCAACCTTCTAAGAAAACCCAACTTCAATGTTATTTAATATTTCTTGTCTCATAATGTTAACATTGAATTTATTTATTTGGCTGGAAACTGGATGCAAGATTATACTAAGGCTGACAGTAATAATAATAATCCTTGCATTTGATATAGAGCCTCTTGTCATTGAGACGTCTCAAAGGACTTCACAGAATATACTGTAAAGTAAATTTGTGGTCGAAATGTGTGAGGGAGCTGAGCTCGTATTACTGGAGAGGGAATGAGATGTTTCAGTAGCCCTGCCATTTGAATAATGTGCATTTATTCAGCTCTGATTGATAGACTCAGTAACCCACAAATCTACACCCCCAGTAAATCAATTCCTAAAAAAAATTCAAGTCCTAATTACATGTAATGCATCTTTGAATTGGCTCCTGATGGTGAGATTAATTTAAAAGCTTCAAATTAATATCACAGTTATTAATTTAGCTTCTGTTTATTGGATTGCTGAGTTTATGAAAATATTAACATTTTCTTGGATAATCATAAATCCTCCCCTCCCTATTTTGAAAGTGCTTTATTTTTAGTTGATGATTGGACAGGCTTCCTGTACTAGTGCTGCCCCTCACTCTGCTGTCATTATCTATGCAGCTGTTTAAGATGTTTCTTATTATTTATTCTCTTCTCCTCCCCTCAATAAGCTACACAGCTAAGAGTTACTTGTTTAGGAGAACCATTGATTTAAACCCATCAATTCGTTGTGTCACCTCTCAAGCCACCCTCTAAAACGTGTAACAGATTGGTGTTTGCAGAAACCAATTTGCAATCAGATTTGACGGTGCTCTGCTGCTAAATGAACATCGTTTAAGAATGGGAACTCATTTATTTCTAGATGAAGCTGTCAGAATTACAGGAGCTGGTGATGAGGCTGGTGGGCGAGCGGAACGAGTTGTACAATAAATATGTCGGTGCCACACAACAGGCTCCACATTCGGCAGCAGCTGAAGTGCGGCAGCATTTACCTGAAGGACCCATGGAGCTCAATGCCGTGAACACAGAAGGTTTGTGACGCTTTAACTACAAAGCGCTTCCGCTCCCAGCGTCTTCGGCTCGAGTGTTTGACTCCTTGAACAATCTGAATTCAGCTTTGGGAACGAATTGCGAGAGATTTTCGGCAGTGTTGTCATCAACTGCTTTTTAGAGTGGAATAGATTACTTAATACTGTTCTTCCACTTGCCTTGTTATTCTCTTCATTCTTCAACTCGGAGTTTGAGCACGTACATGGACTCAAGCTCACAAGAGGAAAAGCTAAAATGTAATTGCACAGAGCATGGTGACAATGTGGAATAAACTACCCAAAGAAGTGATGGAGGCAGATTATGTTTTAGAGAGAATTGAATATCTATTTGGAAAACAATTCAATCGAGGGGTATGAGAGTCAGTGGAGATGATTTTATTTGTGTTTCTAGATTTTTTTTAAGCTTTTTCTTTTGTCCATTCTCCCTGCATTGCAGTACTTTAAGCATGATGTTTTATAGTAATGCGCTCTAAACCAAGATTGTGTGAAAGGAAAGTTAATAATTTTGCATTTGAGACAGCGCCTTATGTAGAAACGTCTTACAGTACTGCGTATCACAAACAAGTTGCCACTTAGCTCAGTTTAAGAAAAGTATTTTTGGTCTGTGTGTGGAATCAACAGCTGGGATGGGCATACAAAAAGGGTAATTGATGCTCCAGCAGTGAATTTGACTTACAAACTGCTTGATACCACTATGATAGTGAAGACAGTATGGTGGTTCCTCAGGAAGATCAAAAGGCCTCTTCATATTGTAATCTTGAGGACATGTCCCTACCAGTTTCATTGATTGCTTAGGTATGCAAGACTTCCCCATAGGCTGTTCAGCCTTGCGCTGAATATCTACTCTGACCCCTCTCCCCCNACCATGCTGGACATGGCTAAGACGTGATTGACTGCCTGGAATAGGAGTTTAACAAATAAATTCATATCAACGCAGCAAGCATTCCTGTAGATGGATTCGAAATTTCAATGCCTGGAGCTGTTTTCCTTTTAGTCTTCATTTTTTGGGGAGGCAAGTGTTATTGATTTCAACAAACCTTGTGAGTTAATACAACCTTCCGGGCCACCAATGTAATTTGATTTTAGCAAGCTCTGCTTTGCTCTGACAGTAGAAGGCTCACAGCAGAGGGCTGACCTTTATTCTTCAATTACGGCTCGAAGCTACCTTATCAAATACCTGTGTGAAGCTTGACGTTGGTTGAAAATTATCTCCAATCGAACATGTTTGAGTATACTGGTCTTTGAACGGTTTTCAAATCTACTTGAAATTTAGTTCTGTGCATTGAAGACTCGTTTGGTTCATATTCTGATGTGAAATGCCTCTCCGATTTTTGCCTTCAGTAGAATCACTCTTGATTTCTTCAGCCCAGCCTCTGTATTGCAAAGGTCACTGCCCACATTACTCTGTGCTCAGACTGTTCAAGCAAGTTAGTTCTGCTTGTTCTAAAGAGTGTCATGCTGTTACTGCTCGGACTTGAAATTTTAGTAGAGACAGCTTATCTTAGCACACTTGCACCTATAGTTTGGATGAAGTTAAGATGAAGAAACTTCCCTACAGGGAGATGGGAACCTCTCTAGGTTCACTGTGTATTCAACCGGGTGATAACCCAACCAGAGTGATGAGTGATAACCGAACACGGCACTTATCCCCTGAGTACACAGTTCATTAAAGACTCGATAATGTTTATAATAGGGTTTTACCCTCAGCAACTAAACTAATATCCCTGGAAGCACAATACAGTCAAATTACCTTTATCTCACGGCTTATGGAGAAGTATGCAGTATACAGCCTGAGTTAGACCACAGAACATTCAGTGGTGTTTGTTTCAGCTCCAGAATGTGTATTTTTCTGCTTTGAATGCTTGCAAATTGGCTTCTCTTTCTGAGCCTCACGCACCTGGTTGGAATGCTGTCAACTGTTTCCTTTGCTTTGTAGATCTACAAGATGTAAGTTTAGCAGACGAACGCGAGACTCAGGCGGTTTCCTCGAGGGCAGCACATCCATCAGAGACGACCCCGCCAATGGGCTTACCCTCGGAGGACCACACTGCACAACAGATCATGCAGCTTCTGCAGGAAATCCAGAACCCACAGGCCAAACAGAGTCCGTTCTTGAGCTATTCTCCCTGCATCCCCTTCTTTTACAGGGCAGACGAGCACGACGAAGTAAGGATTCTGGTTGTCTAAGTGTTGGTCTATGACAGGGGGCAATTATTATTATTTTTGGAAACTGGGAAAGAAGGTGAGAAGGCAATTTGTAAATTTGTAAGGATGTTTTAAAAAAATAATAATACGTAAGCGAGTGATGCCATGATGAAAAGGTTTCTGAAGCCGGCCGCTGTGGTAACGGAACGTTTATATAAGTTAGTAACCTTGATCCCAGTCACAAACGTGACCTTTTTATTTAGATTTTTAGTACTTTCCAAATGTGTTCTTCTCAATTGAGACTCCATGGGTTATGGTGCGCTGTTTTTAAAGGTCACCTATGTAGGTTTTTTTTTGAACACACACACAGCTTTCCCCTCTTCCCTCCCCCCCCCCACCTTCCCACCCCTCACACGTGCACAGTGGTTGCCTAGCACAGCACTAGGCCATACAAACTGGAAGCCTGCAGATTCGAATGCAAGTGCTGAGTTCACTGGGGAAACCGCTTTGACAGTACGTTTGGATTGAACGCCTTTGGTTAGGAGAAGAGCCAGCCAGTGTTGCTGTCCTTGTCGCTAACCACAGACCGTGGTAAAGGTCCCCATGTGTGGATCTCGGGAGGGGATAGGATTGGGCTTGACTTTGATGCCCCCATCGAATGCCATGTTGAATAGCTTGTTGCCAAGGTTCGCTCAACACTTGGGTGTGGTACTGGAGGACTGCCCCAGGTGCCCATGTCCACAAAGGAATGAGTGGAGAATAGAGACAACCGGGGAGAAATTTGCAGGAAATTTAAAACACAATCCATCCTCAACATTTTTAGGAGCAAAGTATACTACTCATTATATTACTCATTGCTACCAAAGGGCCATGGATATTGATTGGGGAAGAATTTAAATTGTGGACCATTTTATTAATCAACAATTGGCCTCTTTAAATTCAGAAATGCAATTTGCATCATCTTCAAATTGCCCTGAAGTCAAGGTAAAGGCAGATTATCAATACCTCTGAGCTTTGCACAACGCAGCATTGGTAACTATCTGGGTACATTAGCATACTTCAAGTTGACTCTCTTTGTTTTTGTAGAAAGTCACGCTTGCAATAAATAGCATTTTTCACGTCTAGGTATAGGGCGTAAAACAGACTTGAAGCTGCACTGCGTTTGTAGATATTCAGTGTTGCTCTATTTCTAAATGCTGAGCATCTTGTGAGGAGATTGTTGAGACGTTGACATGATGTATTGCGTCTTGTAGGAAGGAGTGTTGGGAATTTGGAGGCATGTGGGAAGGGGGAGCGATGCCTCTGCCATTTTGCCTGAAATAATTACAGCTTCTAACAAACAAGACCATGTAGATTTTGTACTTTTAAAGAACATGGTGAAAGTGCTTAGTTGCTGTGTATGAAACCCATTTATAAACGTTCATGCCGGTAGGTAAAATAACCCCTCTCTCAGCTTGCAGCAAAGCATTGTACAGTGCAGCTAAGGAAATGCCCAGATATCTCTAAGCTACAGTTTACCAACTCACAGCTTCTGTTGGGAAGGTGGAATATATGCTGCTATTTTTTTCCCCCCCTCACCCCTTAACCACTCCACCCCACAGTTTGTGCCCATCTATTAATATGCTAACCTGCCACTCAACTATTTTCTGCTCCGCTGAGCAATTCTCTAGAAAATAATACCCTCTGGATTTCTCTTGCCATGATAATAACTAGCTGCAGATCTACAGTGCCTTCTAATGAGAATGGAGTGTACCCTTCATGTTTTTACTCTGTGTGGCTCTCGTAAACTCGATGTGTAAGAAATCATGACCGTCACTTGGTATCCTTGGTGTATTTGAATGGATTTGTTAGCGGTGCGCAGGAGTTATCTTGTGAGAATGATCCACGGTGTCGCATGGTTGCATCGCACCTTTTCTTATTTTATGATTTTTTTTGTTTCCTTACACTTGTGTGTAAGTGTTGTGCAATTCCAATTCATCCTGTCAGCGAGAACTACGAATATAAATGCACTACGGCAGCCTGAAACAGTCCACCTGAATGTGCACGTGAACAGACTTTAAGGTTATTTTAAAATTTTTTGCCTCCGGGGGTTTTTTGGCGGGTGGAGGGGAGGGAAGAGAGGAAAGAGATTTGGATAAGGGTGAAGGTTACTGAACAAAGTGGAATTTTGATTCTATTTTGATCTGGTTGAAACATTCTGTTGAATGTTTGATCGCATCTCGTTCGGAAGATGAAGTGACTTTAAAAAAAATAATGGTGATTTGCGACAAGCGAATAGCGCATGCTAGAGAGAGAATGTTCAAAGTTGTAGGTGATGGGTTATTTTGATGAACATACTGTGACTTGGTTTCAACAGACTTGGAAAAGAATGGTATCAAACTGAAGTTTAATTGACCCTGTAGTTTTCTTTATTTGAAACGATGTGTTATGGTAACTGGTTACTAATGGTGGATTTAAGTTGCTCAGTTTCTCTCAAACTATTTCCTGAAAAGATTTTTTAAAAAAAAAACAGATCTAACTAATATGCAGATGAACCCTGATCTGCCTGGCTCTGTACAGGGTACAATAGTTCCTTTATCCGTATCAGATTTGGGGAGTCTTGGGTGATGCAAAACATTTAACGAACCTCTCAATGTAGGAATTATTTTAACATCACAACTCCAAATTTAGCTACGTTTTTCTACATTTTTGTTTCCCACCAACTGATGGTATTAGTCGAGATTAAACACTACAATGTGTAAAACGCAGTACCGGGAACATTTCATAGTTTGCATGCAGATGCTCTCTTCATGCAGGAGAGAATTCCATGTTCCTGGCTGTGAATGGGGAAGTGAAAGCAATAAGATCGCGTGACATTCACCTTAGTGTATTCTGGGGCGCAGTTACATTCGGAGTTGCCATACTGTATATATAAAAAAANGTTAGGAGACGCACTCTTGCATTGCAAGGCGTTAAAAAAAANCATTCTGTATATAGTGTACTTGTGTAACATTTTGTAAATTCATTGCGAAGGAGATTGGCTGCATTTTGAGCTGTTGCTCATTATGTGTATCATAACTTGAAGAATCTAATTAAAAAAAAGAAAGTGGGGGATATGATTCAGTATATTGCGGTTAAAATAAAATGAATATTTATTTGGGGGAAAAGTCCATTTTAAAGAATGTGAAGAGAAACACTTATAGAAAAAAAATGTTTGCATTATATTGCTGATGTGATTCTGTTAGCCTTTCTTCTATGAATAAATCGATTCAATAAATTGCATTCATTGCTTCGCATTTCTTTTGATGGTATAATAGTTTTGACCCCAATTGCCCACCTACCAAGTCACAAGCCGCAGTTTCCAATCTGCCATCAATGACCATGCATGCAAGGTAAATGAGTTTGTATCACTATATAATGCTGACATGAAAAAGGCCGCAAAAAAACCTCGTTGACCATATTAGTGTGGTGATTGTAAGGTGGGTTTCCACTATGCTTTGCAAGGGGGCATTCTCTTGAATTACTGTTAAGTAACATGCTCACAAAGTATCTTGCTCGTCTGGTCAAACCCTTCCTTCCTCTTTACCCTCCCCTTTTTGAAGAGGAATGCCCCTGTATCTATCTCCATAATCGGCCGGTTACAACTTGGAAAGCTTTGTCAGTGGGGGTTTGTGAGTGATTATCTTTACACCATGCGGTGGTCATATACCATGCTCGACCTCTGGTAAATCCCCCTCTCTCCCCAACTAAAATTTCTTTGGTTTCTTTAAACCAGAATTGGTTGTACAGCCAATGCATCCATCTTTATGATTAAATCTTTTGAGAAAAGATACTCGAGGTACGAATAGAGATTTTTAAATTTAGATGAGAGAATTTGTCGCTCTTGCCTCTGGTGTCAGAGTTGTGGGTACAAGCGAAATGTCTGGGCTAGCACTCTGATAAGGTACTGGGGGAGGTATTAGATGCTATAATGAGATCCTATTGACCTGTTCAAGTAGACGTCAATGTTTTCATGATAGTATTCAAAAGGAGAAGGAAGTTTCACCATTGCTCACTTCATGGCTTGAGTATGGGATCTTGCTCTGAACAAATTGGTTTCCACACTTGGTTACAAATGTACTGTCACCACATTTGAAAGCAATTGCGACAGTAATAACAACTTGCATTTATATAGAGCCCTTTATGCTGGGTAATGTTCTGCAGCGCTTGTAAATAGGTTTGGATATGTGGTATGCTAGGCTCTTGTCAAATGCAAGGATGGTTATTAACTGATCACTGTGGTACTCCCTGTACAAAATAAACAAAATGCACTTTTGGATGATTTCAGCAGCCTCCGACTGTTCCCAGCAGAGGGAGGTTTGATGATCCCTAATTAACGAGCAGAATTTTATGCTTTGAAAAGCACTGGGGTCTCATCCCAGTGTAAAGCAGATTTTCTTCCAGGATCATCTGCCACTGAGTATGCAGTTAATGCAAAATGACAACAAACTTGAAACATTCTTGCTTGGTCTGTTGATACTGCATTAATACTGCGTGCAAATGCAGTTACGAATGCTACGATTTAACAGTCAAGTTACAAAGCTCACACTTCAATAAGCAATACCTGGGGCATTCCAAGCGACCTGGTGTTTTATTAGAGTTTATTCCATCTGTACCTCGGTGATACTTAGAGGGCCTTTTTGTGCATCATATTTTCTTGTGCATAATTTAGATTTGCAATACATATTTTATGTCTTTCTAAGTTAATCATCAGAATAATTAGGAAATGAACAAGGGCTTGGAGGAGTTCCTATGGCCCTGATCTGTGAGTTGTGTTTAACCTTGACTTGTAATAAGCCAGGATGCTGCTGCCGTGATGCTCTTTCAGCTGAATAGCTTTGCATCCTCAGGCTGCCCATAACACTCAACATCCTGAGGATATTCTCTGTAAAATGATTTGACGAAAATAACTATGGAAAAATATTACAGCCTTTATTGTTTTTTTGAAAAACTTTTCTGAGAAATTATAGATATTCTGATGTTATAGATATTCTCCACAACAGGAGCTAACACTCAAAACACGATCAATCACTCAATCAATAAATTAGTACAATCACTCCATTTCGCAGTAAATAGTGTGAAGCACTTTGAGATGTTATTTTCCGGGAGTTTTCCGAGAGCTGGAATGGAATCAGATGGATCAAAAGTGGAGGGGAAGAAGGCCTGGAGTAACTGATACAGCAAAAGAGTGTATTTACTGTTAAACTCGCCTCAACAGTAAATCCACTCTGTCTGTCTGTGGTTGTTGTGTGTCTCTATCTGCAGCAGTAAGTCTGCACTCCCCCTCATCATAAGATTTACAAGATTTGGAGTCCTGTAGCTCAGTGGTTAGAGCACTCGCTTTGCAAGCGAGAGACCTGAGTTCAATTCCAGGCAGAGGGCGAAACCTCGGGCAAGTTTCCTTACTCCACACAGAGCCCTAATAATAATCCCTCCAAAACCAAAACCAATAATAAATTGGTCGTTTTCAATCTGCAACTGTTTGTGGGACATTGCTGTGCGCAATTGGCTGCCGCGTTCGCCCACAAATATACAGTCAATTCACCTTACAGTGTGTTCTGTGAAGCGCTTTGGGACGTCCTCACGATGTGAAAAGCGCTGTATCAAATGCGAGGATTATTATTATTATTACATGGGGCCAACGGTAATCTTCTCACTTCCAGTGCTTCCTTGTCAAAGGCTGACCTTATGCTCTCTCTGTTCCCGCAGCCTTTCCTGTGGGCGATGCACAGCAAAGGCTTCCAACAGTGTTGCCAGCCTGGTACTAGAGGCAGACAATGAGCGGAGGTCTTACTTTCCCTTGAGGTCAAGTCCTTCAGGCCTTCTCAGTCTTCCAGTGAGCTTCTATCACTGTCAGGTGTCAGGCCATGTATCTGCTTCTCTTCAGATGTTCCTCAGATTATCTCGGATTCAGGCGGAGAAATTCCTTCAAGTTACTTCCTAGGATTTTTTCTCTCTGTCCCTCAAGAGATTGAGGATTTAATGCAGTCTATATAATTAGGTACGTGTAGAAGATGTGTGGAAATGTACTGGACAGGAAAAGACAATTGCCACTGCCCCAATATTGTAAAAATAAAACCAACGCTGCTAACTAACTCTTCGTGCACGCTTGAATCATCCTTTGTCAAATAGCCATCTAAAGGAAAGGACATCTTTCTGCTCATTCTACCCTGACTATGTGTGTGTGTTTATATAATAACGATAATAATCCTCTTTTAGACGTCTCCAAGCGCTTCACAGAACACACTGTAAAGTGAATTGACTATATTTATATCACTCGCCTGCTTAATGTGATGCTGTGTAATTTGGAAGGGAGGTGTGTGTGTGGGGTGGGGGGAGATGACATGAAACATTCTTATTTTAAATTATGTTTTCCTCAAGTGGGGACCCCCGGCTCGGGTCTCATCCTCCTTTTTGAAGTCGGTTGTTGCTCTCCCATCCACTGAGCCGGCTCAGATGAATCAAGCCCAGGCTTTTCCTGCTCTGTTATGGGTGCATTTACCCCCTGAGCCATTGGGTGGAGCCATGTATCACTTTAATCGATCGGGAAACGCATTTCATCTGTGTGCGGTGTGTAAAAAGGCGGTCGATAATAACCTGCGTGGAAAACTTCAAAGAGCTTTCTCCGCGGAATGTGTCAAAATTCTTCAACTTGATTGATAGAGCAATCTTGCGGCCCGTGTATTTGTAGAGACTAAACGCTGGCTTGACGAGCACGCTTTATTTCTTCCTTTTTTTTAAAAAAAAACAACCTCTTTAAATATTAATTCAGTGCCTGACTGAGGGTACAAACCCACGCGAAGTGTAAACCAAGACTTGTTTCCTGATACGCCACAATTGCAATTGTTGACCCTGATGTAATGGGATCCATCATTCACCTTATACACAGAGAAGCCACACTCTCTGTTTACTGCCCAACTGGCGTATCTCCAATGTTTTAAGGTATGTTCCACCTCTTTTTTTTCTCTTCTTCCATGCCTTTCTTTTACTTTTTCTCTCTCACTCTGTCATACCCCCCCCCCTCCCCCACACCCCTCCACCACCACCCATCCTTCCCTGACAGCTTCTTTCACATTATTCATTTGTGAGCCTTGATGGTGAGTGTTGCTTGGGCTATTTGATCATAGAGAGGAGGAGGGAGGGACTGATAGACACACACATGCATATTTCAGTAGCATATCTCTGGATAAGAATCAGCACCGGAAACCTTGTTTGATTTCCCCTTTCTTATTTCAGGTCCACTGAGGTCAACTGTAGCCAGAACACCCGTCCATCCGACCCCTCCACCCAGCCACTAAGATCAGCTAATTCTTTTAAAATTGAATTAGATGGATAATAAGAATAATCCTTGCATTTGATGTAGCAGCTTATCATGTCGTTGAGACATCTTCACAGAACAAACTGTAAAGTGGTTTTTGTGGGTGAATGCAGAAGCCATTTGTGCACAGCAAGTGTCCCACAGACGGTTGTGGTTTGAATGATCAATTTTTTGGGGGGAGGAATTATCCCCAGAAAGCGATCTGCCAATCAACTAACAACCAGGTTCCTACTTCCTTCTAGTTAAACAGATATGTGGAGTAAGGAAACTTGCCCAACATTTCGCCCTTCCAGGAATCAAACCCAGGTCCTCTCACTTGCAAGGCAAGCGCCTCTAACCACTAAGCTACGGGACTCCAGGGGAAGAGTGGGTGTGGAAACTGACTAATCCGAATCATTCACATCATGTGCACATTTCCCCCAGGAATCGAAACCCGATGCTTGTGAATATTAAAAGGTGTGCGAAACGACAGGAGAGCTGAGAGAGGATTAGCAGAAGTAACTAATGTGGAGAAAAAGACCAGTGCAAGCTTGATGGCTTGAATCAGCTCTTTCAGTGAGTAATGTCATAATCCCTCAAGGAAAATAATAATAATTTGATCACTTCAATCCACAACTGTTTGTGGGACACTGCTGTGCTGTGCAATTGGCTGCCGCATTTCACCCACAAATATACAGTCTATTCACTTTACATATATTCTGTGAAGCACTCTGAGACGTCTAGAAGACATGAAAAGTTCTATATCAAATGGGAGGATTATTATTCTATTTATAATGTTGTGCGATTCAATGGACTCTCTATTGTCAGCTGTAATCGATGGATGCAAAGACTTCCCGAATGTGAACACATTCCCACAACCCACACTAGTCATCCTGTGACCTTGCTGAGCAAGATCACCAATGAAAACGAGATTGAGAGTGGTTTTATGCTCTGAGCCCACACTCACTGAACAGCCATGGGTTAGTTTCCCGATTTTTTTTTTTTTTTTAAAATAGCCTTGTTGTGGGGGAGGTTAGAAGAATTTTTTTCACAAAGGATTATTAGAACAATGAAGTAACTATTGAGGCTGAGGGCATAATAGCGTGTAAAAGTGAATTGGATAAATGTTTGAAATGAGACCGTATAATCAGGGTATTTGTATCGGAAGGGAGAGCACCAGTGGGGGAAACAACAACTTTTTTTTAATAATTGTCCTTGTAATCCTTGCATTTGATAGAGCGCCTTATCATGTCGTTGAGAAGTCTCAAAATGTTCCACATGATCTAACTATAAGTGTAGTGACTGTGCATTTTGTGCCACTGACAATGCACTCTCCAGTACTGCACCGGAGTGTCAGCCTAGATTAAAAATGTAGCCGGGGGGGCACCAATGTCCTGTACTGCTAAGATGCGCGGATAACCTTATGTTATATTTTGTACTGTTATTATTATAATGCACTGTAGTATTTGTCATAAATGAAGACTACAATTTCCATCTTGCATTGCAATAATTATGCTGGTGCAGCAATCCCAAGCGAACAGCTCGTCCTTTAGCCGTGATTGTAGAACTATACAGCACAGAAGGAGGCCAGTCGGCCCATCGTGTCTGTGCCAGCTGATTCAAACCTTTTCCTTCTATAATATATAATAAGAATCTTTGCACTCGATATAGCACCTTATCATGTCGCTGAGACGCCTCAAAGTGCTTCGCCTGATACACTGTAAAGCGTAGCGACTGTGCGTTTCGTGGGCCAAAGGCAGCAGCCCATTGCGCCCAGCGGCGTCCCCACGGCCGGTCCTGGATTGAGTGACCGTACGTGGGAAGGTGTCGCACTGGGGAAGACTTCGCCTCATCCACCCATTACGGCTGACAGTGGAGAGTCATCGAATCGTACGACGTTATACACAGAATAACGGCGACCCTCGCATTTGGCATAAGCGCTTTTCCCCGTCTTCCAGACATCTCAGAGGGGATAGCAATGGTGGTGCAGCGGATTGCTGGAGACTAGAAACCCACCGAAATGACGGGGCTGTGAAACTGACTGGTAATAAAGCCCTGTGTGTGTGGGGGTGTGTGTGTGGGTGTGGGTGGGTGTGTGTGTGAGGGTGGGGGTGTGTGTGTGGGTGGGGGTGTGTGTGTGGGTGGGTGGGTGTATATGTGTATGTGTGTGTATGTATGTAGAGGGGCGCGGTGACTTCTGGGAGTTGTAGTTCCCAGGGCGCCGCCCGCCGGGGGCCGAGACCGGGCGCGGGACTACAGCTCCCAGAGTGCTGCGCGAGAGCCGGGCATGCGCAGTCGGGTGGCCCCGCCCCTCCACTCCCTTTAAATCGCCCCAATGTGACAGCAACGGGATCTGAGTGTCAGAGAGAGAGAGGGGAGGAAGGAAGGAAGGAGGGAAGGAAGAAGGAAGGGAGAGAGAGAGAGACAGAGAGGGAAGGAAGGAGGGAGAGGGAGAGAGAGAGAGAGAGGAAAGCAGCAGCCAGAAGGCTCACTGCGGCTCCTTGGGCTTCACTTTTTTTTTCTCTCTATATATATATATAATACATAAATATATTATATATTATATATATATATATTTTAAAAAACACATTGTTTTAATTCTCCCCCCAAAAAAATGCAATGTGGACTTAAGAGAAAATCACACTTAACACCTGGATTTCTCTGTGTGTGAGTGAGTGAGTGTGTGAGTGAGTGTTTTTATTTGAAACCCTACATTTATATATATATATATATATATATATATATATTTGGAAGGGCGGGGGGTGGGGGAGGGGGGTGGTGTGTGTCGAAGGAGGAGGAGGTGCTGGTGGAGGTGGTGGTGGTGGTGGAGGTGGTGTTGGAAGAGGTTCGCTCTCTCGGGGGAGGTGGGGTTGGGGGTGTGTGGGGGGAGAGAGAGAGAGAGAGAGAGAGAGAGAAAAAAGGTGATTAAAGATGGGGAACCGTGGGATGGAGGAGCTGATCCCTCTGGTCAATCGGATGCAGGACGCTTTCGCTCAGATCGGACAGAATGCCGACCTGGACCTTCCTCAGATCGGGGTGGTCGGGGGGCAGAGCGCCGGCAAGAGCTCGGTCCTGGAGAATTTCGTGGGCAAGTAAGTCAGTGGATATATATCTGTGTATATATATGTGTGTGTGTGTGTGTGTGTATTTGTTTATTTTTATTTATATAGCAATATATATATATACACATATAAAAAACACAGACGATGGAGACCGTTTGCGGCTCAGTTTCAGCGCATGAAACGCGACGCGCTTTTCGGCGTTTGTTTTTCTCTGAAGGTTTCGGTGCAGTTGTCTCGTTGCAGCAGATACATAAGGTGAGGGGTTTATTTTTTTTTATTTTTTTACGGTCCGTGTCTGTGTCTCTCTCTCTCTCTCTCTCTGCTGTGTGTGTGTGTCTGTGTGTTGTGTATATATAGTAAAAATCAAATCTATTTTTTTATTGATTTTAAAAGAAAAGACAATAGACTGACGGCGGCACTGATGGGATCATTGGCAAACACAATGGGGAAGGGGAGTGTGTGTGTGGGGGGGGGGGGGGGGGGTGGGGGTGGGGGTGGAGGGGGTTGGGGGGGGTTGGGGGTGTGTGCAATGCCATATCCTTCGAAAGCATTAAAAAAAAGCTTTAAAGCGTTTCTGTCAATTTCCTGTTTTGCTCCATATTCGATGGGGTGACGTTCATTTGCTGATGTGACATATCATTCTGACCTTCTCTTTGCGCAACAGTCCCTCGGCGAGATCTGTGTGTGTGTGTGTGTGTGTGTGTGTATATATATATTTGTAATAACATTAATGCAGTTTCTATGCATTAAAAAAAAACAGCTGTTTTGGGCGTAAAGCGAATCCTAATTCCGCGCCTGAAACCGATGTCATTCATTCCTCCAAAACAAACCACAGAGTATTTGCAAATTCTTAGATTGCGTCCATGTACTTGTGTGTGACTGTGACCTTGGGGGCTTCACCCGGTGGTGCGGAAATAGCTGCAGGAAACTGCATTAGCATCGGACAGATCATCTCATTTTGTGTGTGTTTTTCTAATATATATATATATCTGTATATCTATATCTAAGCTGCGATGCCGTTAACGCATCAATAATATTGTATACACGTTTCAGCGCAGTCGACTGCCAATTGGAATGACAGCATCGTTACCTTTATATATATTTATATACGTGTGTGTGTGTGTATACACACACATATAAACAGGGGGGGGGTGGGGGGGGGGGGGGTTGGAAAAGCTTCGAGAAATCAGACAATGTTTGTAGATTTGAATTCCGGCGCATTGCATTGCATTGCATTTGAGTGCTTATGCATTCGGATCCACTCCCAGTCCTAACATCGTGTGCAATGAGATTACGAGGTACAGTAGTTCCGTTGCGTTATTATTTTTTTTCCCCCCTTCTCTCTCTCTCCAATTTGCATTCATTTTGAATTGCATCTGCCAGTAAAACTGATTCGATCGATGCACGTTTGCCAATCGTGGATGGGGAGTGTGTGTGTGTGTGTGTGGGGGAGGATTTGGGTGGAGAATACGAATGATTCCTCCCCCCACCTCTAGGGGGGGGGGGGGGGGGGGGAAATATTAATAATACATAAGCTACAACCAAATATCGTCACCTTGGTAACAGCACATGACACTGAACGCTCTTTACATGAGCTGACGTTGTCTTTCCATTGCAGATTTTGCCCGTGTGAGATGCGACGACCTATTTACGCAACGATTCAGTTATATACCATTAATTTACGATTTTTTTTTTAAAAAAAGCAAAAGAAAATGCACGCAACGCACACGCACACACACACACACGCACACACATACACACACCCAAAAAAAGAATATGCAATGGAAAGCTTGGTGGGAGATTAAAGTGCGTCGCCTCAACACTCATCCACATTGGTTGCTCCCTGTTGATCCTCTTTACGTACCTGGGCGGTGATGGCAGTGCCAGTGATGGTTGCCACCGTCATGTACCACCTGCGGAATGGACCCAACCCCTGGCGATTGAGGCACATTTCCTGAGCATGAAATCTCCCCCCACTGGTCAAGGGCAAAGCTCCCGGGGGGGGGATGGCGAGGAAGGGCAGGTTTGCTGGTGCTCTGGTCGCTCTGATCTGCGCCATCCATTTAAGAGGATTTTCCCTTTTATCTCTTCGCTTGCAACAGCGACGCCCACCCACCCTGGATGCTATAAATATGCCTTTCCAAGTCAGTTGTGCAGTCAGTTTGCAGAAGACATTTGTTTTGACGTGTGTGCATACCCTGGATCCGGCTTAGAAACCTGCCCGAGTGTCTGTGCGACAAGCCAACAGCAGCCAAAGTCTTTCCTCCTATGTTTACTGCCTATTTTTCCAAAGGATCTTTTTTTTTCTTCTCTCTCTCTCTCTCTCTCTCTCTCGTCCCCACATTTAAACTCCCATCTGTGAAATGTAAAGGGATGGCGTTGCTTTCCCAGAGTAACAGCAACGGGATGGCCTTTCCAGGTACACAGAGTGGGTTTGTTGCAAGGAGAGTGATGGACATAAGGACATCATAGTTTCTCAGGAATGGAGGCTGGTGCAGTAAATCAAACAGCTCACCTGGGTGGAGAATCGAGTGGGTCTGACTGCATTAAAGAGGGAGAGGAGGTTCAGCCTGACCCTGTTAGTGAAAATCATTTGAGTTGTCTATCTGTCAGGAGCAGCACCTACAGCTGTGATTGGCTTCTGCTTATGTTGACCACTGTTTACATATCTGTAATCCCAGACCCTGTCATCCCAGTGTCTTTGCGCCTCTGTTGGCTGAGTAAGATTCGCAGATCACTTACTGGCTGTAATGATCCCTTAAAATAAAATGCGGTCACTCAATCCACGACTGTTTGTGGGACGCTGCTCTGCAGTATTGGCTGTCACAAAATATGCAGTCAATCCACTTTACAGTATTTTCTGTCAAATTCTTTTGAGACGTCTCAATGATGTGATACGGCGCTATACCAAATACACGTATAATTATTATTATAAGATTACATCCTAGAGCAATCTTGTTACTGTTGGCAGATTATATGGCTATAAAATCAATTGAAACATTAGTGGAATACCCTTGAACCTAACAGTGGGCTGAGTGAATCCAGACAAATTGAATACCATAGGAATTAGTGTAAACAGTGAGAAATCAATAAAATAATAATCCTTGCATTTGATTTACCACGTTATTGAGACTGTCAATGCGCTTCACAGGATACACTGTAAAGTGGATTAACTGAATTTTGTGATCACTATGTTCCTTCCCTCATCTTTGAGCTCTCGTTTTGCAGATCAAAATACATTCGCTTGATATTCTGGTGTCTAACCTTCTGGAAGGATGAGGTTGGATGGGCCGAAGAGCCTTTTTCATCCAAACATCCTGTGATCTTGTAGGATGATAGAGAACGGGGAGAAAAGTAAGACAACGTTAAATGCTCAGAGAGATGTTTATTGAAGGCAGCGAGAGAAGGGGTTTGAGAAAGGGTTCCTAAGAGTGGGGGGGGGCGCACAGTGACTGAATGTTCAGCTGCTGATGGTGGGGTGGTTGGAGTGAACATTTCCTACATATATTTGCTTCCTCACAGAGATGAGATTGGGAAGAGTCCATGACATTGGAAGTGATGTGTGGGTTGCACTTCAGTGCTTGCGTTCAGTTGGCTGCTGAAGCCTGATGATTTGACAGCCTAAAAAAAATCCATCACCAAGTTGGCCCATCTTTAGACTGGGAGGCGGACCAGCATCAATCTATGAGCACTGCGGCAAGGAAACCCCACCAGCTAAGCACAAGATCATTAACTGACTGTCTCTGCTGTCTTGTGTATTGATGAGTCTGACCAGAACGATGTGAGGAACCCTAACGCATCAGTTAATCAGAAAAAAGGCACAGCTGACATACCCGCAGCCTGTAGGGTAAACCAAGTTCTTTTACTGCTAGCAAACCCACCGACAAGAAAAGGGGATTTGCCTTTCATGCTTCGCTAACACAAGCTGCCATTTCAGTTCATTGCCAAACCAGTGAAAAGGCTGTTGTTGATAATATCGAGAGGAAATGAGCAAACCACCATGATTCAATGCTTCCCCTGGAATGTGAAAATATTAAAAAAATTGTGGTCACTCAGTCCATGACTTTGTGGGACACTGCTGTGCAAAACTGGCTGCCACATTTCGCTCAACAAATACAGTCAATCCACTTAACAATATATTCTGTGAAGCACTTTGAGACGCCTCAATGACTCAAGTAATTGGAGTTGAGGTGCAGATCAGCCACGATCTTATAGAATGGCGGAATAGGCTCGAGGGCCTGAATGGCCTCCTCCTGTTCCTATGTTCCAAACCAATCTAATGAGAGTTCTACAAGAGGATGTTTTCGGTTTGTCTGGGTGGAGGGCACATTCTTTTCTGAAGGGAATAGAGTGTGCACTCCAAACCAAGCAAACCTGATCACAGAGAATTTCGGCACAGGTTGGTAAGAACCAACGCTCGGGGACACCAGAGGGTTCATTGGAGTAGCGCTGGACAAGTTGTTTTTGCTGTTGGTGTAGTTGCCAATTTGAAGACATCTAGCAGCTCTCGTCTTAACTCTCTCTGTTCAAGCAACAAAATCCAGTTTTATCTGTGTATAAATGCAAGGAATTGGGACACTCTCATTCTCATTATTTCCTTCCGTGACAGTGGGTACAATGCAGACAGTGCTGTATTATTCTGGAAGAATTACAATATGTTTTGATGATTGTCAGGCCGAATCCTGAGATATTACATTCCCTTATTAAACACATAATACATTTTGAATGAGTGCAGCATGTTTTTCCAAAGCTAAAAATATTTGTTCCATGTGTCGAATAACATCTTTTTCCACCCACTAAATTCAGTTTTGTGTAGAACTAACTCATGGTTAGTGCCATAACTACTATTTTTTTTGAACCTATGAGTGCTTGTCAGTAAAGATTAACCTGTTGTAATAAACAGATCCAAATGAAATTAATTCAGAATTATTCAGGCCATTTTGAGATTATTGCATTTTTTAAATCCTCATTAATATTCAATTTAAACCTGTTCTTAACTGGGATTGGAAATGGGAGGCTCTTTTGCAAAC